TCTGAATTTCCTTAAATATGCACAGGAATGAATAAGCCTATATGTAGGTATAATTAGAAAACAAGTGGACTAAAAGGAATTGCAACTCCTGGGACACCAGGAAGGGGAATAGAACTTGGGGACATCAAAGGAGACTTGACTCATCTACAGCGTTCATTTGATTTATTATTAGTAAATATTTGAAGCAAATATACAAAATGTTAACACACTTGGGTGGCAGGAAATAGAGGTCTGCTGTGTGTTTATTGTGATGTATTCGCTCTGTATTTACTGCATTAAAAAACCACTTTGAAATAGTCTCCCCCAGGAGAGAGCTGGCTCTGCCTGGGCAGCTGAGACCACTTACTGGCTCCTCTGGGCGTGTTTCTCCCTCTGAGATGATGGAGGGCGCCCACACGCGCCAATAATCTACAGCCTTCAGTGCTTTTCCTCCCTGGACCTGTGTTTTTACATTGCGGGGGGCAGGGACCAGACCACGGAGCCACGCAGGACTGCAGAGGTGACGGGAGGTAGAGGTAGGGAGACCGCGGAACGGGGATCCCCAAAGCCAGCAGGGAATAACAACGACGCTGCATCGCCCCCAGGTGGCCGGAGGCAGTATATACCACGTTCAAGGAAGATTCAACGGACTCATACCTAAGGATTGAACCTTAATGTTTAACGTTGAGGAACTCCCCTTTCTTTTGTAACGCTGTGTTCCGATAGTATTTACTGTTGTGGACCTAGAAAGCACTATGACTCCGAGACCCAGAAGGAAGCGAAGGCTGTAGGAGGTATGGGAAAGGCCGGCTGATTACAGACATGCGCACATCCACAGGGGCGGGTCTGTAGAGCGCATACTGCCACGTCAGTAGACTAATATAGTCTCAATGAAAGCAGTGGTAAGCGGGAGGTAGCGTGGCCGAGTGGTCTAAGGCGCTGGATTTAGGCTCCAGTCATTTCGATGGCGTGGGTTCGAATCCCACCGCTGCCATACCATTCTGGGTTTCCGTTTTTGGCACCCTTCGACTCATACATATCCTGATTTCTCTTCCCCTACTTTCTAATGCTAATTTTGTTGTTGTTCTTGTTCCTTAATGGAATTGGGAGCTGGGAACGGGGAATGAAGAAACTGTAGCACAAGCCAAACGCCCTCTCACTCCCTAGCCAAGTACAACAAACCCACCAACCCATGCTACCTGAAAAACTGGAAAGAAAACACTATTTCCAGGAGAAAGCATCTGAGATACTTTGAAAATTTCCAAACAGTTATTTAATCCTTCAAGTCCTAAAGCCACAGGGAGTGGGGCTCTTAACCCAATAAGTACAAAAGTTAGGTGGGGGTGATTTTAATCATGACCTGAGTTAAGGTGGGTTCCTTTCTAGCCAGCTCTGTGTACTCTGAAGAGCTACCGCTGACTCCAGAAACTTCCTTGGCAGAAACCTGTCAGGTGTCCATGGGGAGGGGCTAAGGTATCAGGGGGTCTGTCCCACGTGGGAGTAATCAACCTTAAGGTCCCAGCTTCACAGATCCACCTCCGACTTGGTCTTCAGTGTTGGTTTAGGGCCCCTCATTTATTTATTCATTCAAAACCAAGTTCTTCATGAGGCTATAGAACAAACAAGGCAGATGTAGCTTCCCACTCATAGAGTTTACAGACATTGTAATCTCATTAATTATACCTCTGAGAAGTGTTATGCAGTGCATTCTGCTAATCTTGCCCAGGGTCAATGGAAGAAGTGACACTTAGTTGGGACTTGAAACTGAAAAATTAGCCAATTGAAGGGGGGAGAGAGGGGTTCCTGGTGAGTCTGAGATGCTGTGAAAAGCAACTCGTGGAACTGGACAGAGCAGCAGTGGACAAAGAGCAAAACATGAGGTGGACGTGTTAGGCAAGGAGGGCCATGAATGCCAAGGTAAGGCTTTGAACTTGATCCTGAACTCATTGAAAGGTTTTAAGCCAGAGGCTGGCATGTTCCAGTTTTGGATTTAGAAAGTTCCCTTTGGCAGCAATAGCAAGAGGCTCCCTTCAAAACCCACAGCAGTTGTCTAGGAAAAAGGAGAGCAGCTTGTACCATGGTTGTGGCAGTGTGTGGGACTGAAGGCGTGGGACAGAGAGACATTTTGGAGGTGGATCTGACAGAACTCACTGATGAAAGACATGAAGAAGAGGAACGTGTTAAAAGTGAAACCAGGTTTTGAGTTTGGCCCACTGGGTGGCTGGTGGTGCCTACTCTCTCCACAAGTGGGAACACAGGATGAAGAGGCAGTTTGTAAGGTAGATGATTTGTTTGATTGATACTGATTTTGAGATGCCTGTGGAACATGGAGTTGAGTATGAGGTTGGACATAGAAGTCTGGAGGTCTAGAGAACACTTCACACAAATGATACAGATTTAGGAGGCATTGGATACAGAAGCCATGGAAATGGATGGACTCGCTCAGAAAGAGTGCATACAGGAAGTAGGGTGGCCAAGACAGAGTCCTGAGGAACATAATCTTAAAGGGAGGATAATGGAAGAGAAGCCAGTGAAGAAGATGGAAGGCTGGCCAGAGACATAGGTGGGAAACGTATGTATTGTCATATAGACTAAGAAGACTATTTCAGGAAGGAAGGAGTAGCCAACTATTTTCAATTCTCCTAAGAGACTTGGCAAAATACAGACTAAAAAATATCTATTGGATTTGTGATTTATGGATAAGGTCATCCTTATTAAAGGATTGATGCTCCTATCCTTATCAAGGATATTAACCTTGATTAAAACCATTTTGGAATGGGTTTAAGAGAAAAAATGAAAACGTTAGTGTAATTGATTGATCACAAAATTTGGTTTTGGGAAGGGGTGGAGTGATAGCAGTTGTGGAAGGAGGAATGAGGAGCCCAGGGATGAGATGGAAGGATGTTAAAACAGTAGAGAAGAGCTTCAGCACATACAGTGATAGGCTATGTCACCTTGGGCTGTCCATGGTGACAACTCTGTTTCTGTATTCATGATGTTTCTGCTTAGTGTCTACAAGTAAGTTTGGACCTCCTATTTGCCCTCTTACAACCTCATGGAAGGCTAGTTATCTGGGCAGCCTCTAAAATGCTAATGGGGACTCAGTTTTTGGGGTGGAGGTGTTGCCTCCTTTTCTGCTGGGTAAAGATACTCGAGAAAGGAAGCTTTCTTGGCAGTGACCCATACTGCTCCCATGACCAGGTTTTAGACATCATACCTTCAGAGTATTAGGGAAGAGGTGATTTAGAGAAACCCAAAAAACAAAGAAATTGATTTTGCTTTTGGGTTTCAAAAGCTGAGGTTTGCCAGTAGACAAAAAACCTAGAAGGTTAAGTGCACAGGAAAAGCCTGTTTTCTCTGTCCTAAGAACATATTTCTCATGGTTAACAGAGAGAGGAAGGTGAGAGCAGGAGAGTTTAGATGCAAGTGTGTTATCGAGAAGGGAGCCCAAGGACTTCCAGCCCCAGCTGGAGCTGAGAATGAGGTGGATTCGAGAGCTCTACCGAAGACTGGCATGGCCCAGGTGTGGAACGGCCAGAGTGACCATGTATCTTGTTTAGGCCAGTGGGTTTGGGGCAGCTCCTCCAAATTACAGCAACTGCAGAGATGTAATCCCTACCCCCTTTTTGACGTTAGACACAACCCCAGTTTCCTCACCTGCAAAATGAGAATAATAGACTCCACTGTAAGGGCGGCCCTAGGAATTAAATAAAAGCATATAGATGAAAGACCTTTCAAACTGTCAAGCATTAAACAGATATAACAGATTATTACTGAGCTTTTAAAAATTATATGCACACATACAGTGCAACCTAGCAAAGAAGAGCATACACTTTGTAACTACTTCACAAACTTTCTTCATTGTTCAGCAGAGAGGGACACACAAGCTGTGGATATCCAGCCCCCACGATGTCAACGTTGGCTCTAACACTTTCCCTCCCCTCTACCACAGGTTTTTTAGGTTCATGATGGTTTTTGTCTTTACCAGGATCCTTAGTTTGACGGGCCAGTTCCATGTGCATGTTTTATGATATATGCATGAATGTATTTACACACTGATCTTGGTAGCCATAATCACCAAAATGATAGGGAGGCATTGCTTCTGTGGAAAGCAGGGCGGGTTAAGAAATTTTGTGGGTTTAAACATCAAAGATTATGGTGATCACCACTGCCCCCTCATTAACAAATAGAAGCAATACTAAATTATAAAATATGACCAACTAAGTTCTAGTTCTTTTTATCATAACTACACTGGTACTTTTTTGAGACATTTAATTCTTTTAAAAAGTTTTTGTTGGTGATGGTATTGTTGTTGTTGTTGTTTTACGTCGCTGCTGGTACGGTGCTTACTATGCTGAGTGACCTCTAGACTCATAAACCAAAACCCGAAACAGCCAGGTTGGGCTGGGCAGAAGCGTGGGTTTCCAATCCTAGCCACCAACACACAGGGAGACCTGCGTAGTGAGCGAACCCAGAACAGGGCAGGAGCAATCAAACGCAACGCTCCTAGAATGGTTCTAATCCAAGATTCTGAGAGGATCTCAGGATAAGCCTAGAGATGCTCGGGCAGCGAGGAGGGTCCAGTGTCCGTATGGAGGCTACAGCACACAAGAAAATTCTGCAAACGCCCCAGCTTGCACTAGCCACTAGACGGAACAAAGGGCCAGGCCCCAGCAGCTCCCCTAGGCAGCTTGGCTGGAGGGGTGGAGACAGCGGAAGGGGCGGGGCCAGGATATGCCACGCGAGGGGGAGGGGACCGAACCTAAAGGCAGGAGCAATCGAGGTGTGCGCTCGCTCGCACGCACCGGTAGGTCCCGTAAAAGGAGGAACCAGAGCAGGGACAATCCGGGGGCGGCCCAGAACTGGACGGAGGTGGAGAGAAGGCCTGTTGGACGGAGCAGGCCTAAGGCTAGGACCTCATCGCTAACTGGACCAGGCCAGAGGGAGAAGCAGGACCAAGACCCAGAGGGCCGGAAGGCGGAAGGGGCGGCTCCGCGGCCGGACCCCCTGGGGGCGGACTGTCAGACCCCGGACGACCGCCCGCCAAGGAACCACAGGACCAGGGCGAGCAGGCCAAGGAGCAGCAGCAGCCCGAGCAGCAGCCGCAGGAGCGTCCGCGCCGTGGAGCCGCGGGCCCTCCGGGTCGTAGACTGTACGTATCGCTCCACAGCGTCCGCGAAGTTGAACTTGTCCGGCGCGTAGCCGAGCTGCGCGCGGGCCTTTGCGATCTGGAAGGTGTGCGTCACGGCCACGCTGTGCACCTGCGAAGAGAGGCCAGGCAGCTGAGGGGCGGGGCTAGTGGGGGTGGGAATCAACTTATGTGGCAATTTAAAAGGACCGGTGTGCTGGTTCTTGCTCCTGCGAAGCCCTCCTCAGGAAGGATTTCCTTTCTTCCATTTCCCTTTCCCTCCGGGGCTCCACCTTCAGGAAGGCTTTTCTGCATTTCTCCACCGTACTACTGAATACACTCGCCAGAAAGCAGAAGTACCGTCTCTGCACTTCCCCTTCCGAGGCCTAGCACGGTACTGTTACACAGGAGGCCCTTGAAACTTCACTGCCTGGGTGTGATTATTCGGAAAAATGCCTCCGGGAAACGCTCTTGGCTTCCGGGCCCTCAGCCCTAGACTGAGGCGGAGCCCAGGGTGCAGCCTTCAGCCCTCATTGATTGATTAAGCTTCCCCAAAAGAGGAATTCAATTCTGCAGAGGTGATTTTCCGTGACGGTTCGAGCTGCGTTTCTCTGCGGCCAGGTGAGCCACCTGGAGCCCACAAGCTTCAAGGACAATAGTGCAGTTATCAGTTTCAGAACTCACACTGTGTATTTGACCTAACTCTCATTTAATCCTCTGAGGTAGTACAGTGATACTACCCCCACCTCAACATATTTGAAAAATTGAAGATCAGGGAGATTAAGTGGCTTGCCCAGAGTCACACACACCAGATTCCAGCTCCTGCGTTTCTGTACTATACTGGAACTGAGAGGATGCCAGCCCGTGTGGACCCGTGTGGAAGGATCCACTGGCTGTTTGATTCTCCCATGGCTCTGAAACAGCCGCAGTGGTCAAGCCCCCGGTCTCAGAAGCTTGTGGGAAGAGTGGGAGAAATCAGATGTTGTCCCTTTTTGCCCCAGCTACTTCAATTCAGGGCTTTGGGGCGATGGATACAGCTATGAACTGGATGAACAGGGTTCTGGAACACAGTATTCTTAGATCTCAGGCTTAGATGTCACTTCCAATGGGAAGCCTCCCTAACTTCCTCAGAACTGGCTTAGGTGGCCTGTGTGTGACCTGAAGTTCTTCCTAACTTCCCCCTTATCACAGTGTGTTGAATTGCCTGTTTATTGGGCTCTCTTCCTCTCGATCATGACACCATTTGCCATGCAGGCCTTTGACCCTGTTAAACATGACTGCCATTTTACTCTCCTGAGTTTAGGTCCCCAAGACTGGAAAACCACTAGAAAAGCAAGAACAGAATGTGAGTAACGCCCCTCACAGATGCAGGCAAAAGATAACATTGAAGCAAACTGCAGCTTATGCAAAACCAACTGAAACCTCCTGTGTAGCAACACCCCTAAAGGCCCAGCTGCCACACAATAGCAAGCCATCCCCCTCCACCCTTTTATAATCCAATAAAAATTCAAAGCCCCTCATTGCTAGTGTATGCTCCACACTTAAGCCCCTTTCCTCTCTTAGAAAGTGAATAAATCTTTGCTCTCTGCATTTTCTTCTTTTTGTGAATTCTTTTACAACCTGCACCACCGGCCACCTTAACACGTCCTGCCTCCATTGCTCAGCACAGTGCCTGGCACACAGTACATGTTAAATGAATGAAAGGCTATCAAGTCAAACTAGAGGGCTGGTTGTTGTGTCACAGACTGACAAGCAGAGGGTGCCAGAGCCACATTGCCCAGAAACTTGCCTTTGAGCTGCCAACAAGTGAAAGGAGAGGGAGGGGAGCCAGGTCCCTGCCTAACCACAAAGCAGCATCTTCACAGCTATTTTACATGGATGTGATCCCTAATTTCACAAGCTAGTGGCTAAGCTTGAAATCATTTAGGTCTGGTCCTGGTTCAAATATCAGCTCTGCTACTTTAGTGAGTCATCATAGGCAGGTTATTTCACCAATGTGTCTCATTTCCTTCCCTGTAAATGGAGATGATAATATAATACATTGTATACATCTAGAGTAGAAGTGATTAAATGAGATAAACACAGCCTGGTATATCACTGACACTCAAAAGATGGTCACTAATTTCATTTTTCTCTTTCCTCTAATAGTGTGGATGGTTCAAAGGAGAAACAGTAGGAAATTGCTTATTTCTGTGGTCCAGTCTCCATTCCCCTAGTCAGAGAGGACTAAACAGTGTGAAGCCAATTCCAGAATGGTATGGTCTTGGACAAGTCACTATATTTTCTAGCCCTCAGTTTATCATCAGAAAAGATAATTTTTTGGCAGGGGGAGGGGGGGTCCTTCCTAATTTACCAGGATATCAGAGAAAATCAAAGGAGAGAGTGGACTGGACAGATTTCGCAAATAACATCAAACACCTGTAAAGTTTACAATCTATAATAAGACATCCTCTTTTAAACTATAAATGCAAATAGAAACTACATCATCATTATTTGAAAACAATATTCTGTACAGAGTGAGTACTTAATATATACTTATTATTCAGTAAGCATGGATAGTAAGGCTAGAACCACAAGGCTGTATGTGTGTGCACTGAGTGGGAAGTGGTGGCATTCTGAAAAGTAAATGTCCTGGAGCCTGGTTTTTGGAGCCTCCAGTTTGGCTGGGAAGATAAGCCTCACGAAATGGTAGTGATGAGGGTTGGGCTTGGAGCTGTGACGTTTCAGATCAAGAGAGCACAACTGAAGCAGAAGCCCAGAGGCTAGATGATTATGAAGGAACTAGCACTAGATTTGGGCCCACATGAAAGGTTCTGAGACCTCAGACAAGCATCCAGCTATGGTGTCAAAGGGGTAAGTGGAGAGTGGAGAAGGGGCAGGAAGGCAAGTGAGGATTCCCAGGGACACAGCGGCTCCCCCAGCAGCGGCTGGCTTACCTCACTCCGGGTGAGCAGTGGTGGGATGCTACAGATGGGCCTCATGGCCAGGTGCAGGTACTCCATCACTGTGGCTGTGTGGGGAGAGAGGGGCCAATGACCAGGATGCTTTAGGCCAGCTCCAGGGGGACCCTCAGGAACCCATCAGTTGAGGCATTATTTTCCTTGCTACGGGGAGTCTTCACTTTGCAAAAATGTTGTGTCCTTGGATTCCTTTAAATCAGCAGTTCTCAGCACCTGCTGGGGTGCCTTGTTTGCTGAGAAATGTGTTGCAAGTAAGTTGTTATTACATTTTAAGGGCAGACTGAGCAGATTCAAAGCTACCTCACAGTAATGTCTGCCTCGCTCACTTCTGTTCCAATCTGCTTTCTTGAGTAGGAGAAGGAAGCTGGGACAGTAGTTCTCCACTGGACTGCACTCTGGACCACTTTAAAAAATGCTGACGTTTCCTCTGCCCCCTTGTTTCCTGCTGATTCTGATGTCATTGTTCTGGGGTGTGGCTAAGGCATTTTTATATTTTAAAAGCTCCCAAGTGATTCTAATGTGCAGCCAGGGCTAAGAACCTCTCAGTTATAGTTAGCTCCTCAGGAACTATGGATTTCTATACAGCCTCTAGAACTGCCAGAACACATGACTCATGGGTCAAGAAGTGTCAATCACTTCGGCGATGCTGTGCTTGAGAAGCTACTCCACCTGTGTGCCCTGGTGGGAAAATAGTGGGCAAGCATCCAGTGCAATTAGAATACAAGTCCAGTCAATGTTTTTCAGGAATACATCCATGTGTGTCTTGACGGCCACCCATCCCCTGGGCAGAATACTGCATGTCTGGTACTGGCTCTGCACTCCAGCCAGAGGAAGGCCAGTGGAGGGATGCTGGGAGTATGAGTACAGACTGATCTTCAGGGTGAGAAGAATCTAGAGTCAAAATAGGGCCTCCACATGTCCAAAAACAGCCTGACCTTGGGGGACAGGACAGTTGCAGGGCTCCCTTTCCTCCTAACTTGCAATGCCTCCCAGCACAGGCCACAGGGCTGTGGAGTCAGCCACCTAGGTGTGAATTCTGCCTCTCGTGCTTCTCACTGTGGCAGGCCACTAATATAGTTGCCTCACCTTTACAGTGGACCCAACATTACCCTCTTTGCAGTGGAATAGGTTTTGATTTTGTTTTTGTTTTTTTTTAAAGGTTTTATTTATTTTTAGAGAGGCTAAGGGAGGGAGAAAAACATCAGTGTGTGGTTGCCTCTTGCAGACCACACCCCCCACTGCAGACCTGGCCTGCAACCCAGGCATGTGCCCTGACTGGGAGTCAAACCAGTGACCCTTCAGTTCGCAGGCTGACACTTGATCCACTGAGCCATACCAGCCAGGGCATGGAATAGGGTTTAAACACGGCCAGAACTAGGGTGAGGGGAATGACATGTTGGGGCCAGGCAAGTGCAGATCAGGCTTGGAGCACTTGGACCCTGGGAATGAGGGTCTCCTTAAACTTTGTGCCTTCAGTGACTCATTCACCTCCACCTAGTCCTGGCCCTGGGTTTAAAATGTGGTAATGCATGTTTACCTGGCAAATGGAGGTCTTTTAATACACATATTCTTTTCTTTACCTGTCAGGTAAACCCAGGAAGTAGGCACCTGGATCCATGGCTGGCTGTACCCCAGCTTCTCAAACTGCAAGGAAACATGGCCTGAGATTAAAACAGTCTTGCAGGTGCTAGTGTGGAAAGGCCACATGTTCCCTTTACCCCAGGCCAACAGAGTACCTCCTGGTCCTTTGCCCACCCACCCCATGCCAGTCCCAAGACTATCTTGAAATGATATCCATACCTTGACTTGGAAAACTCAAGTAGGAATTGAATGCATGAGGGAAGAGGTTAATTTGGGATCATTCAAATCATTTTTTAAAAATCCTCACCTGAGGACATGTTCATTGATTTTAGAGTTAGAGGAAGGGAGGGAGGAAGAGAGGGAGGGAAGAAGAGAAACATCGATGTGAGAGAAACATCTGTTGGCTGCCTCCCACCCCAATTGGGGACTAAACCCTCAACCTAGGTATTCTGCAATGTGCACTGACCAGGAATTAAACCCATAACCTTGGATGCATAGGATGACACTCCAACTGACTGAGTCACCCAGCCAGGGCTCATAATGTTTTTATTTACATCTGCTACGCCCAAAGACACTCCAAGGCACTTGCATAGAACCTGATTTTTCTAAAATTGCTATTAAAGGGAAAAAAACAGTATATGTCTGGAGGGTGGTAGAAGATGCATGAAGAAATGGGCTGGCACAGCATAAATTGAGGTCTTCACTATAAAACTAATAGTAACAAATGTTGCCAAGGATGTGGAGAAAGTGGAAACTCTTACTCTGCTGGTGGGAATGTAAAATGGTACAGCCACTAGGAAAAACAGCCTAGCTATCAGTTCCTCAAAAGGTTAAATGTATAGATACTATATGACACAGCAATTCCACTCCTATATATCCTATGGGGGTGTAACCAAGAAAAATGAAAACATATTTTCACACAAAAACTTCCACATGAATGTTTATAGGAGCATCACTGATAATAGCCCCAAAATGGAACAACCCAAAATTCTACCAACTGATGAAGACAAACAAAAGGTATACTATCTATAAAATGGAATATTTTGGGCAATAAAAAATGATTACTGATATGATCCATGCTATAATATGGATGAGCCTTGAAGACATTATGCTAAATAAAAGAAGCCAGTCACAAAAAAACCACATATTGAATGATTCTGTTTATACAAAATGCCCAGAACGGGCAAATCTATAGAGACAGAAACTAGATTAGCAGTAGTCTAGGGCTGGGGGGAAAAAGTGACCATTAAAGGGTACAGTTTTTTACTGTACCCATGAAATGTTCTAAAATGTACTATGGAGATGGTTGCACAATTCTGAGTGTACTAAAAACCATTGAATTGTATGTTTTAAGCAGGTGAATCATACGGTATATGAGTTATATCTCAATAAAGCTGTTAAGAGTTGCCATGCAAGGGCCTGAATGCCCTGAGGGTGTGTCCTTCAGCACAAGGTTCTGTGGCCCCTTCATCTGGGCCCGAGGAGGGGTCTGTGGGCTGCCAGGAAAGGTGGCCAGGGTTCTGGGAGGGGCTGCCGTCCATAGACCCCAGGGCCAACACTTCCCTTCATGTGTTGGGCCACCTTCCACTTACCTCTTTGAGAGTCTCACCACACAGTAGGATGGATCACAAGCAAAATTCCACAGGGTGAGCAGTCAACATAAATCAGGAAGCAGGTGGGAGGGACTACTACAAACTGGTGGAGCACAAGGCCCCCCCAAAGGGGAAGCTACAACCCAGGTCCAGTCCTTTCCAATGTCATCCAGTGGACACTGTTTCCAGAACTGGTTTTGAATGTGAAATCTTCTGATTTTTTAGAAGTAGGAAAGGATGACAGCATGAGAAGAGGTGGGGATCTCTGAATTATCACTCAAAGTGGGGGTGGGGCATATGAGCACCTACCAGCGGGGCCATCCACTCAAAGAGGTTGACGCTCTCCCCGTCGTTGATGTAGTACGCCTGCCCGCTCTGGGTTGGGGGAGACGCCAGGAAAGGGGAATAGTCAGGCATCTGCTTGCCACCTGACTCTACCTCTCAGATGGCTCAGAAGCTGCCCAACCCCTGAGTTCTGCTAAGCAGCCACTAAGGAGTCAAAGCCAGTCCCCAGCCCTGGAGAGACCTACGCAATCAATTCCCTTTCAGTTCTGGAACTGACTAGTGATATGTCCCCAATGGAATCACTTAACCTCTCTGTACCTTAGTTTCTTTATCTGAGAAATGCAAGGACGGTAATGGGATCTCTTGGGCTATTATAAAGATTAAAGGCGACAATGTATATTAAATGCTTAGCATTTGATGACCGACATCTGGGATCAACAACACCTACTTCACAAGGTCACTGCTATAAACTAATGATGCTCTATGAAGACCCCCTTCCCCTCTGCCCCCCACCCCAAGCTTCCCTGGCCAACAGTCCTACCAGCCATCTTGGGTTGGGGAGAAAGGTATGTCAGCCAGGAATCCCTTAGGACTGGTGGGGGGTGGGGAGTAGGAGTAGGGAGCATTGCAGGGAACTCACAGCTATGTAGCCCTTGGCTGCGGTGAGGGCCTCAGCCGCCAGCAAGTGTGCCTGCACCAGATTGTGCACGTGCACCCAGTTCATCCTCGTCCTGCGGTCCCCAAATCGGAACATGAACAGTCTCTTCTTGATGTGGCTCTGGCAGGGGCAGGGGGTGGGGAGGAGCAGTGAACACAGATGCAAGCCTGGGTGGCTTTAAATTTCATCTCTTTGCTGATGGGTCCCAAATTTCTAGCGCCAGACCAGAGCCCTCTGCCCCAACCCCATGTACCAGGAGCTTTCGGTTGTCCAGCAGGCAATGCAAACTTGGCCAGTTCCAGAGTGAGCACCTGATCTTTCCTCTCCCTTAACATGCTTCTCTCTCCCATCTGAATTGACAGCACTCCAGGTTCAGGTTAAAGTCCTGGGGACACATTGCTCGCTCTTCTCTCACACCCCCATCCAACTCACCTGCAAGTCCTGCTGGCTCAACTGTTAGAATCTGTCCAGAATTGACTGCTTCTCATCACCCTGCTTGTCACCCTCTTCTCTCACTTGGATCCCCAAAAAGCCTTCTAACAAGTGCCCTGCGGCTGGTCTCCACAAGGCCAGGGGATCCTTTTAAACCCTAAATCAGTGTACTTGTCTTCCCTGCTCAGAACCTTCTGGCATGCCCATCTCGCCAGACTGAAGGCCTTGGTTCTGACAAGGGCAATTCCGATTTGGCCCCAGCTTCTCTCTGACTACAAACCCCCTTTGCTGGTCAGGCTCCAGCCCAGCCTCCTCCCGGGAACATGCTGGCAGGTTCCCATCTCAGGGCTTTGGACTTGCTGTTCCCTCTGCCTGGAGGGCTCTTCCTCCAGATCCCTGTGTGATGCACTCTCATCCCCTTAAACTGATGTTCAGATGTCCCTGTTTAACAATACTCCTGACTGCCAGCCCTCCCAGTTTCCTCATCCTTTAACATCGTTCATTTTTCTCCGTAGTACCTGGTACCTTTGAACATTCCTTGTCATTTATCATGTTTATTATATATCACCTTGTGTGAGATTATAAGCCCCACAAGGGAAGGAACTGTGGTCTGTTTTGTTTACTGATCTGTCCCCAAACCTAAAACACTAATCTTTCTCACGTCCAGGTTTGTGCCCAAGCTTTGTCCGCTGCTTGGACCACCTTCTCTCTACTACCCCATTTCCTTGGTTAGTTCCTGTTTCTTTCCAAACAGCTCAGATATCTCTTCCTCCAGGAAGTCCTCCTGGGCTTTCTCTCTCTAGTGCACTCCCATCTTCTTGTTCTTCCCTCTATACAGTCCTTACCACACTGAATCTGTGACCATGGCATCTGTCTCCTGACCAGGCTGTGAGAAATCTAAGGACAGGGCCTACCAAAGCCCCCTTGTACCCAGCTTTGGAGCCATCCTCCGTGTCTGTCCACCCATGCCCAGACCTGACTGGCAGACACTGAGAGCTGTTCCTGGTGGGTCTGATGGGGCTCAGGGCCCCAGGCTAGGGACACTGTCCCACAACTGATGTAGTGACCATGGGCTGGGGCGACCCTATCCATGAGAATGAGCCAGGCTCCTCTTGTGTCTCAAACCCAAGGTTGGAAGGACATACCGCCACACGGGGAAGGTGCCTCTGCTCTTCAGGGCCATAGATCCCTGGGGGTCGGAGCACACATGTGCGCAGAGTGCCTCCTCCTAGGACACAGGGGAGGGCAGTCAGGGGAGGGACAGACCAGCAGGGAGAGGGACAGAATGGCTGTACTCATCTCCTGATCCTTACCTGGACAGCTTAACAGGGAAGACAGGCCCTTAGGATTTCCTCATTCAATTAATTATTCTCTCAATCAGTTAGTCATTCAACCAACACTATTCAGAGATTTCCCATTCTCCCCCTGCTTTCTGCACTGGGCCTTGGGTTGGATGCTCTGGAGAATCTAAAGGTGACCAAGAATGGTTCCTGCCCTCACGATGTTCACAGGCCAGTAATGGATAAGACCTAGAGCAGGTGTGTGCATGGCCCTTGAGAGATGTGATCTCCTTTGACTCCCTACTGTGCCCATTTACAGATGCACACAGACCCACACTCCCTCATGCCAAGAGCTGTAGTTTTTTCATTTTTCTGATCATCAGTTAAATAAGGACTATGATGACCCTTAGGGAGGCCCTACTTTGTGCCTAGTGCTCTGGTAAGCCACAATTTTCCTGTCAAGTGTCTTTATGAGACTCAGAGAGAAGAGACAGATGGAGAAGGGAAGGCCGTGTGAAAACAGAGGCAGAGACGGGAGTGATGCACCCACATACCAAGGAATGAACAGGGGAGACAAGGAAGGACCCTCCCCTAGAGTCTCAGAGGGAGTGCAGCCCAACTGACACTTTGATTTCAGATATTTGGCTGTGACCTGTGAGAGCAGTGAAAGCAGAAATTACAGTTGTTTTAAGCCACCAGGCGTGTGGCAATTGGTCCTGGTAGCCCCAGGACACTAACGTACCCAGAGGCAGGAGGACACAGCCAGGTTCACACTGAGCTGGGGTCTGCACATCTCAGGACTCTGCCTCAGGGACCACGGCCCTCCATGCCAGGTTAATGGCAGAACCTCAGAGATCAGCTTGGGCAGTAAAGACTGGAAATCACCCAGAGTGACGGTAGCTAGACTCCTGGAAGGTAGGTATCAGGTGAGCTTTTCTGTAAACAGCCCGCAGCTAATTTTAAACTCTGGGTCACCTGGACATGGAGGAAGGAGGTCAGGTTGCAGCGACATTGGCTGATAGGGCACTGGGCAGCCACATCACAGAGGGGCCGGGCCCAGGGTATCCATGACTCTCTTGACCATGGAAAGCTGGGGATGCTATTATAAATACTTCTTGGCCAGAGGATTAGGTGTCTGGCTTATATGCTGCTGGTCCAGTAGGGGATGCCCTAAATAGAGAAGAGAATTCAACCTCACAGGGTCAAACCTCTGAGGGAACACAGCTGGAAGTTCCTGTCGGCCCAGGGTGATAGGGTGAGGTGGAAAGGATGTTAGGGGAAAGGGCTCATTCTTGGAGAGACTACCTCAACTGTGGCTATAGTGTACCATGACAGTTAGTCCCTAGGCTCTGGAGTTAGATCCCTTAAATAGAAAAGGGGTTCATTTCCCATCTCTGCCATCTAATTGCTGTGACTGTAGTTAAGCCAGGTAACTTCTAAGCCTGTTTTCTTCTCTGTAAATTTCAGAGGTTTATAATTGCAAGCATACTTCACTTTCCAAATCCAACTGGCCCCTGAGTTTAGGTAGTGGGGGTAGCCGAGTCTTTTTTTCTTTTTCTTTTTTTTTAGTTTCTGAATTGTGGAAAGCAAATAATGAATACATTTGGTTCCTGAGTTTGGAAAGCAAGAGAAACCTAGAGGTTCTATGAAGAGTTATTATGACTTTTGCCCTGGCTGGTATGGATCAGTGGATTGAGCCTTCAAACCAAAGTGTGGCAGGTTCAATTCCCAGTCAGGGCACACGCCTGGGTTGTGGGCCAGGTCCCCAGTAGGGGGAGTATGAGAGGCAAACACATATTGATCTTTCTCTTTATCTCTCCCTTCAGCTCTCTCTAAAAATAAATAAATAAAATCTTTTTAAAAAAGTTATTACGACTTTTGCCTATAGAATTAGCATGTAAAATAGGGCCTGGCATGTAGAAGCACTTGATAAATGCGGACTGTCTATATTCTACTTTTTAATAATGCCCATCATTATTTTACCCTCATATAAGAATCTTTGAGGTAGATTTCACTATCATCCACGTTTTTTATAGATGAGGAAACTGAGGCAGAGGGTAAGTACACTGCCAAGACCGTGTAGCTAAGAATTGGTGGAGCTTGGATCTGAACTTGGTTCAACCTGATGTCAGTTTGTGGGTGCATAGCGACAGTGCCATACTGCCACTTGTCTATGTCCTATTATCACTTCTCTATAGCCAGAAAAGGTGATGCTGGGAGGCACAAGGCCGGTTTTTGGGGGAGTTATCAAGAGTTAAGCTTTAGGGCCCCTCACTTGCACCACCCTTCCAAAGTGTTATACCTCATTCCATATTTATAATTGTGTGCTCTTTTATCTAAATTGGTCCTTAAACTGGATCCATTCCGATTTGGACTTTTCCCCATCAGATCATGGGCAATGTAAGGGCAGAGATTGGGCCTGACTTTTTCTGGGGTGTATCCCTGGTCGGGGGTGGCCACATAGCAGGTGCTCAGATCTCTTGAATGATGAATGACCGAGGCCTGGGGAAGTGTCTTTTGGAAAGAAGGCGGACCTCAGAAACATGTCGGCTAAAAGCTAGAACCACCCATATCTTTCAGGGAAAGCAGCAGGGGGCACACACATTTGCTGTAAGCAGGGCCCCACAGTACTTACCTGGGAGAGGCGTTCCATTGGCCATGAGGGTCAACTGGTCAGCGATGGCTTTGGTTCGGGAGTAGTGGTCCATGTGCTGTCAGAGGACGGGGAGAACAGAGCCCCCAAAGAGGCCAGTGACATTGCTGACAAGGTCTGCACAGTCCAGCTGGGCCCAGCCCAACCCCAGGGCTGACCTTGGCTTCAGACCACATGAGGGTTGGATTCTGGGGACTCTCAGTGGGAAATGGCCAATTCCTGAGCCCCACTGCCTCTCTTCTCCCTCTGGGTGGAAGCCACAGGAGCAATTCAGGAGAGAGGAGTCGAGTTCAGGGCAATAACACGACCAAGGGCTCCTTGACTCGGGGAGGTCCTGCCAGCCCCGGACACCTGCTCTGGAATACTGATGCTGGATGTGCCACACGGAGCACTTGAGGGTTCACAGGGTATTTTTGAATACACCACCTCACTTCCTGCTCTCCATAACCTCACAAACCTCCTGAATGTATCACGCCAAAAAGAAGAAAAGAGAGGCTCAGAATAAAGTGACTTGCTCAGGGTCAAAAAGATGGAAAGTGGCCTGGGTGGCTTAAGGCCAGGCCTGTCTGATTTTAAAGTTCCTTTAGCATGACCAGCTGAAATAGAAGAGGGCTTGTGCCACAGTGTTGGGACCCCTTCTTCCTAGGACTCACCCCACATCGTGGAATGACTCTGGCTCCACCCATCCCTTCCCTGTGGGTTGTGGTCCCAAGCACATTGGCCCAGCCCACTTCTCCTGGAAGCCAGGTACCTTCTCCAGAGGGAAATACGGCACGGAGTCCTCATCGCCCTGTTCTATGGGCTTCCCGCCGAAAGCTACATTGACGGTGCTGGTGTAGACAAGCCTTGGAACCCGCCGGCGGACACAAACTACGGTGACAGGTGCACAAAGTCATACACACACACACACACACACACACACACACACACACACGTACAATGTGTGCAGGCAGTTGACTGAGGAGGTGCTGGGCCCTGGAGCCCTCCCTCAATGTACAGCTGCTCAAGAGGGAAGGATGTCCTTTGCTTAACTTGGGATGTAGGTCTAGTCCCTGTTCTGTGGGCCCCTGGATGCCATGCCAGCTCACTCCTCCTCCTCATTGTGGCTGTGGTCCCTGATCTACCTTGCTAGGGACAGGTCAGAAGAAAGTCTCACTCAATGGGGTCACAGAAAAAAACACACTCTAGAATCAGGGAGAAAAGCAAGATGCAGGACGTGCCCAGAAAGCCCAGATGAGGATCTTCTATTTTGGTACTTTAGTGACTTTTCTCACTCCCGATCCTTAAGCCCTGAGTGCAAACTCTGCTCCCGTGTTCCCAGACATGTAAGGCCTTGCTGACCCACCCCCCTGCAGCAGTCTGGGCAAGTCTGCAGCACAGAAAGGATGTGCTGCCCACAGGCCCTCTGCTGGGGCCTGTGGCAGGAGGGGGAGAAGCAGCAAACAAATGGCAGGCCACACTCGGCTCCAAGCGCCTACCATCGATCACCAGTTTGGTGCCACCGACATTTATAGACTCAATCTGCTCTTTTTGAAGCTAAAAGACAAGATGAGGTGGGAAAGTCGCAGAGCTGCCTCCCACCTTGCTTCCAAGGCTGTGAGGGTGGAGAACTGTAGAATGTCCAGCTCAGAGGAAGGGCTCTCAGGAGGCCCAAGAGCAGACCCCTGGGCTCCGGCCCAGCCCTGCCACTGTCTCCCTGATCAGGGAGGCTCTGTCCCTGCCTGGTCCTCAGCTCCTTCATCTGGAAAATGAGGGCAAACCTCTTTCCATGGCTGATAGCAGGAAATAAGTCCCATGGGAGGAATTGGTACAGTGCTTGGCACAGAAAAGGGACTCAAAATGTGTTGGATTGTTTCCTCACCCCAGAAGTCTGTTTCCTTATCTGTACAATGGACACAGTGATACTGTTCATGCCTTAGCGAGGGGGCTGAAATGTAAGACATAAAAACAGCTGGTTTTCAGTGAGACCTCCTTGTGTGCCAGGGACAAGGCGAAGCTTTACATGTCATTTAATCCTTACAACCACACTAGGAGCTGGGTTCTACATTGCCTTTTAAACTATATTTATTTTTGCTGCAGTTGTCTTAAACAGGTAATTCGATCACAAGGTTAAAAATCATTCAAATAGTTAAAAGGGTTTACAGTGAAAAGGAAACTAACTTCCCTCCCACTCCTGATTCCACCTCCTTTTGCCCTCCCCAGAGGCAACCATGCTTCCAGTCTTGTATAGTTCTGGAGATAATCTACACTTATTAACGTTGGCACATATGGATGCGTGAATATATAAATACTGATCCTAGCTGGGTTTTTTTTTTTTTTTGAGCAAACAGTAGGATATCGAGCACTTTCTGCAACTTGGAAATTGTTCAGTTATCAGCACATGTTGAGTTACCTCATTCTTTTGAATTTCACAATTTACATAAATAGTCCCCCACTGATGGGCATTTTTTATTTCCTTGTTTTGTTATCAAAAACAGTGCTGCAAATATGCAAATAAGTGTGCTTTCTGAGTCAGAGAGTATGAGTATGTTTTGATAGACACTGCTAATGTAATGAAGAAAGGGAGGCTCAGAGACATTACATTAACTTGCTCTAGGTCACACACATAACTAGAAGTGGCAGAACCAGCATTTGGTCCCATGACACAAAATGCAGGCTGGGTGTAGCCCAAACCCTTCGTGGTGAAGAGCATTAATGAACACACAGGCCCAAAGGGTAAGGAGGGCAGAGCCAGGATCTGACCCCGGTCTGTTAAATCCACGTACTGCATGTGAGGTACTCACCTTCTCAGCACCAGACATTCCATGGGAGGCCACGTGGAAGACACAGTCCACTCCTTCGAAGGCATGAAGCAGGGCTTCCTCATCTCGGACGTCAGCCTGAAACAGAAAAAGAAGAAATGAGGTAGGAGGTCTGAGTCCAAGGCAGAAATATCAACTGTGCTCCTTACTGGGTCCTAGACCTGACCCTCTGACCCCACTCAGGCCGAGCATCTGTAGGGCCAGGAAGGCTGTGGGGCAGGATTTATATGATACCACAGGATATCATCACCATCCTTGGCCCCGTTTATCAAGCTGAGTCACAGGGGTTGTGCTCGGTGTTTCCTGTGCACTCTCTCATCAAGTTCCCGTGAGACCCTTGTGAGGCAAATATTGTAGTGTCCCCTTTCTTAGGATAATGACATGAGATTCAGAGACGTGGAACCTTGTGGTCATGGCTGTCCATCTGGACTGGCTAGAGCTGGAGCCTAACAACCTGTGTTCTTCTTCAAAATGCCACTGGTTTCATATCAGATACTGTCTCTGGACCTCTAGAGCCAGGGTCCCTACCAGTCCCCAAAGACCCTCATTACTGTACCTGGATGAACTCAGTCCCTGGGGACAGCTCCCACTGAGGTCTGCGGAGGTCAAGCAGGATGACAGAAGTGCCACTCTTGGCCAGGCTGGAACCCAGGCTAAAACCCAGGTAGCCTCCGCCTCCAGTTACCAGAACTTTCTGCCTAGGGGTCTGCACAGGTGTGGCTTGAGTCTTCTCCTGTGGTGCTGGTGGTGAGGCTGTCATTGGCTCACTGGGTTTGGGACCAGTCCCAGACCCATATCTGAGCCCAGACCCTCCCCTTGGTCCAGGTAATGATGCAGCTCCTAGCCCAGGTGCTGACCCAGCTCCTGGCCCAGGGCCCAGACCTGAAGCAGCAGCAGGTCCGGGCCCAGGCCCAGGCCCCAGAATAGCACCAGGTCCCAGCCCAGGTCCTGAAGTAATACCAGGCCCTGGCTCAGGTCCTGAAGCAGCACCAGGTCCTGGCCTGGGTCCCAAAGCAGCATGAGGTCCCGAAGCAGCACCAGGTCCTGGCTTGAGTCCCGAAGCAGCACCAGGTCCAGGCCCAGGTCCTGAAGCAGCACCGGGTCCCAGCTTTGGTCCCGAAGCAGCACCAGGTCCCGGCCCAGGTACCGAGGCAGCACCAGGTCCCGAAGCAGCACCCGGGACTGGCCTAGGTCCCGAGGCAGCACCAGATCCTGGCCCAGGTCCTGAGGCAGCACCAGGTCCCGGCCCGGGTCCCGAAGCAGCACCAGGTCCCGGCCCGGGTCCCGAAGCAGCACCAGGTCCCGAAGCAGCACCAGGTCCCGGCCCGGGTCCCGAAGCAGCACCAGGTCCCGAAGCAGCACCAGGTCCCGGCCCGGGTCCCGAAGCAGCACCAGGTCCCGAAGCAGCACCAGGTCCCGGCCCGGGTCCCGAAGCAGCACCAGGTCCCGAAGCAGCACCAGGTCCCGGCCCGGGTCCCGAAGCAGCACCAGGTCCCGAAGCAGCACCAGGTCCCGGCCCGGGTCCCGAAGCAGCACCAGGTCCTGAAGCAGCAGCAGGTCCTGGCCCAGGTCCCGAAGCAGCACCAGGTCCCGAAGCAGCGCCAGGTCCCGAAGAAGCACCAGGTCCTGAAGCAGCAGCAGGTCCCGGCCCGGGTCCCGAAGCAGCACCAGGTCCCGAAGCAGCACCAGGTCCTGAAGCAGCAGCAGGTCCTGGCACAGGTCCCGGCCCAGGTCCCGAAGCAGCACCAGGTCCCGAAGCAGCGCCGGGTCCCGAAGCAGCACCAGGTCCTGAAGCAGCAGCAGGTCCTGGCCCAGGTCCCGAAGCAGCACCAGGTCCTGAAGCAGCACCAGGTCCTGAAGCAGCACCAGGTCCTGGCCCAGGTCCCGAAGCAGCACCAGGTCCAGGCCCTGAAAATGTACCAGGCCCCCGCCCAGGCTCCGACTCAGGCCCTGAGCCTGAGACCCCTCCCCAGGCCTGGCAGACAGGGCAGCTCTTCTCCCTTTGGCTTGTAGCTTTGCAGGCCTCTGGGGAGGAGCCTGCCATGTTGGGCTTCATTCTTTACTGAGCCATGTGGACCCAGGACCTGCAGGGAAAAATAGAAGAAGGTATGCTCTAGAGTCACATGGATGATCAGACGCCTAGGGTTCCAGGGAACTCTTGGGTTCACGGTGAACTTGTCCCTTCCAGAATCTTGAGAACTTCCTAGGTGGTTGTTACCTTACTCAGAGAGAGTCAGAGACAAGGCAGTCAGGTCTTGGATTTTATGGCTGGGGAAACTAAGGCCCAAAGTCGCACTGCATGGCTGAGATTTACACCGAGTATTTGTGACTTCTCTACCAGTTCCTTAAAATCCTAGTGCTCATATAGTACCAGAGAAAGACAGATCACATCATGTCAAACCTGACGAGACTGGGGGGTGACTGTTTTCTGACTGCGGAGCTATAGAGGGCTTCCTGGAGGAGTCGGGGAGGAGAGGGGGAGGAATCTACATGGGATCCAAAAGGGCTCTCTGTCTAGAAAAGTACACATGCTTCCGAATGCTGCAGCCACCTCCATTCTGATAACAGTTGCCTCTGGTTCTCCCAGGTTCTCTGGCAGTACCAGTGACTGGCACTGTACTGAAGCCCACCACAGGCTTCAGGGTTAGGTCTGTGGACCTCAGGGGCCAGCACTTGAGGAGCCTGTCCTCCCCACTCTAGCTAGGCTGTCAGTCACTGTCACCATCATTGTCCCTCCCTTCCCCACCTCCTGCTGCAGCTGAGGATGAGGCTGGACCTGGGGCCAGACACCATCATCCTCATTAATAACAGCAGGAACCATGTACTGTGGGCCTACTGTGTGCCAGGCCCAATGGATACAGAGATAGGTAGGTCCCCGCTCCGAATGGCACACAGTGGCTATAAAAAGGAACAGGTGCGACTGAATGAATGATGAGCCCCACGGTCGTTGCTGGTGGTTGGTGGCCATGGGGCAGGGGCCCTGACAGCTGTAGGGACTGGATCTTTCTGTTTCCTCTGTCACTACCCTATTCTCCAAAGCTCTGAGTGAGGACAAAAGTCATGCCCTGTACAAGCCCTGGCAGTCATGGTTTTCACAGGGGGAAGACACCCCCAAATCTATCTTTTGGGTGCACCCTTGGGCAAGATCCTTAAAACCTAACAGCACATCAGTATCCACAGCTGTAAATGGACACAAATAACCCTGGCCAGTCCATGAACCGCACAGGGAGGTCATGAGAGGGCCGATGTCAGTGCCCTGCGCACACCACTAGACACACCATCCAGGAGGACCCTGATGGGTGGTGTTCCCAGCACCTAGAACTGCAGCAGGCACCAAGCCAACTTTCAGTAACAGCTTTGGAGAAGGGGAAGCCCCTCAGGGCTGCATCTGGGAGAGAGTGCTGTGGCCCCTGAAGGCAGACACAGCTGCATTTTTAGTTCAGGGGAGTAGAGGTTACTGTTCCCAGGCTGCAGAGATGGAAACAGGCTCAGAGAACATTCGCAAACTTTGATGGAGTCACAGATGGTGACTCCAAAGAAGGGTTTGGTGAAAGGGGTTTGGGACCGACCACTGGCAGGTAGGTCTCTTGGGGAGGCAAAAGCGGGCGCCCCCCACGCCGAAACTGGCCTGGTGCCCAAAGCTCAAGGCCAGTCCTCCCTCCCGCCTCCCCCAGCCCCCTGCTCGCCAGCAGCGCTCACCTAGCCCTGCTCCCCACGATTGGGCTCCCGGCGCTTGTGCTAGCAAGCTGCAACCGCCGCGTCTCCCGCCAGCCGAGCCGGCAGCTTCAGGGCCTCCGCCTCCTCCCGGCGGCGGGCGCAGGGGGATGGAGGGCGGGGCCGGGCTCCCGGACTGCCCAGCGCCTCCTCCCAGTAGGCTCTCTACAGCAGAGACCCGCAGGCTCTCACCGAGGGAAAACTGAAGCCAGTCGAGGGGCGAAAGGGTCGTGGTGCTGGCGAGAAAACAGCAAAGTCACTGCATGCGCGGCCCTGTCCTGCCCACAGTCGTCCATCTAGTCTCCAAAATGTTCCTCTGTTCAGCCTGCTGGCACTGACTCCTCAGCTAGCCATCATCCCACACATTGTTCTGTCCATCTCTGTCTATTCATTCATGCTTCTCCCATTAAAAAAAAAAATTCTTTTGTTCATTCATGCATTCATGTATTTGTCTGTCTTTCCGCCTATCAATCGAACAGTCCATCTACAATTCACTCCATGTGTCTTCCATTGCTCCCTCCCACCTGTCTACCCTTCCTTTCTTGCTTTCTTCCATCCATCTCTGGGTTCACCCATTCTCCACTGTCTTCATTTCATGGTTAAGGAATGCTTTTTTCAGCGCTGCCTTTCTTTCCCTTGCAGGAGGACTCAGATGGATAACACCATCCCTGGAAAACTCTTTTGTAAGTGGCAGTAAACGGGGCCAGGGCAGGCACATGCCGGACCACTGGCATGGCCACTCTGATAGCACCGAGGGAGCTGTGCACCAAAGGCCAACTCAGCATGAGGGCTCATTATTTTGGTCTGAAGAGGGCCACTGGAAAGGTTTCACCTGTAAGAACACCCTGTGGGCACAGCTGAGTGTGGGGGAGAAAAAACTAAATCTTAGCCAGCACGTGCTATGTGCAGGGGGTAAGGTATCTTGCTTGGTCTTCATAACTCTGTTTCAGCTCAATTATAGAGACAGGGAAGCAGATTCAGAGAGATGAAAGGGGCTCAGAGTGTAGTGGGCAAGGCATGGGGACAGCCCTGGGTTCAAATCTGCCACTTTCTTCCTGTGTGTCTTTGGTCAGCTACAAGACTCAGTTTCCTCATCTGTAACGTAGAACTGGTGTGTACTTTACAGTTGTGACATTGTGAGGCTTGTGCCTAACAAGGTATATGCAGAATGCTGAGTATGGTGCCTGCCCAGTTGGTGCTCAACCAGTGGTAGCTGTTATTACTACGTGAGAGATTAAGATTCAAACCCTGGTCCTGTGCTTCACCACTTCACAAACCATATCTCTGGTCCATCCTTCCATTCACAAAGATCAGCCTCTCCTCTTCCACCAGCAGAGCCACAGAACTCATGTTCCCTCACCCAGCTAGCTGGCGCTGTCCTGCTAGAAAGCGTAGTTTATAACACAGCATCTATGGGTTGTCTTGTGCCCTGTCCCCAATTCATACGTTGAATTCCTAACTCCCAGTAACTCACCATGAGACCTTACTTAGAAAAGTGCCATTACCGATGTAACTATAGATGAGCTCATACTAGAGTAGGGCCCTAATCAGTATGAGTGGTGTGCTCATAAGGGGAAATTTGGACACAGACATGCACACAGGGAGTCCACCACATGAAGACTGCAGTGAGGCAGCCACAAGCCAAGGAACTACCAGAAGCTAGGAGAGAGCCCAGAACAGACCCTTTCTCAGCTACTTCAGAGGGAGTACAGCCCTGCTTGTCCCCTGACCTTGAACTTTCAGCCTCCAGAATGGGAGGCACTAGATTTCTGTGGTTTCAGTCACTTGGTTTGTGGTATTTTGTTATATACTCTAGCAAAGTATATACAACCACTACTAGCCATTTTCTCTGGGTGGAAATGACTCAGAAGGGCAGCTATCCAAGATAGTGACCAGACAAATCCACTGGGTCGGGGACTGTGGTCACCACTGTCACCCTTAGTCCCCAGTGGAGCTTGGCTAAAGCCAAGCCTTGTTAAGGATTAGTCAACTGTGTTTTTAAACAACTCGATGAAATTTTACCTACATATACATCAGTGTAACCTTGATCTCATTGACCATGCAGATCAAGACAGAGAACACTTCCAGCATACCAGATGCCCCGTGTGTAACCCCGGCGTGCCCTCCCCACACACTGGGTAACAGCTATTCTGACTTGGATTGCCAACAATAGTTTTGCCTGTTCTTGACTTCATGTAAGTGGAATTACACAGTATGTACTCCTTCATGTTCTTTTGTCCAATATTGTTCATTAAGATTGATCCATCTTGCTGAATACAGATGCCAATTCATTTTTTTTCAATTGACCAGTAGTATAGTATTCTGTTGTACAAATGTGTCACATGGATGAACATTTATACTGTTTACAATATTTGCCTTCTATGAGTAAAGTTGCTATAAAACATTCTTGAATATGCCTTTTGTCAAACATATGCACTCATTTCTCTTGGAGTAGAATTGCTGGAGTAGAGTATGCATATTTTTTTTTACCTTAGTGGAAACTGCTACACAGTTTTCAAAGTGGTTAAACCAATTTACATGCCCCTTCCCCCTGCCCCAGCTGTGTATGAGTTCCCATAGCCCTGCGTCTTAACCTTGTCAGTCTTTTTATTTTTAGCTACACTGGTAGGTGTGTAGTAGTACCTCACTGTGGTTTAAATTTGCATTTCACTGATGGGTAAGGTGTTGAGCACCTTTTCATATACCTATTGTCCATTTGAGTCTTTTGTCCATTAAAAAAAACTGAGATGTTTATCTTTTTCTTATTGATTTGGAGTTCCTCATATATTCTGAATTAGTCTTTTAATAAAATTTTATCTCACCAAAAATTTATGCACACACATGTATAAATGATCACTTCATTTTAAAAGTAATTTTGATCCTATTAAATAAAAGCAATTTTTCCTGTCTTAGAAAATGACCCCAGATCATATAATACATGACACATTTATTTCATATGTACATGGTGGAACTGGGCCAGCAGACCCTGCCCGATTTCCACATGCTTGAGTAGAGCACTCTCTCTGGACTGGGTTCTAGAGCTGACTCATTCAGTTTGTTTGAGGCGAAGTGGGGGGAGGAGGGGGAGTGACAATGACGCTCACATGTTTCTTCTTCCTCCAGGATGGGCTGACAGTGAATCTGCATACCCCCTTGGACCAGGGTGGTGGGAAGCACAGAATGAGAGGACCAGGATCTGTTCTCTGATTTCCGCAGCTGGGCTCCCACAACTAAGCTGCATGCTTAGTGTCTACTACGTGTCTACCACATGGCAGGCTCTGGGTACCCAGAAATGCTTAGGACACCAGCCTCTTGCTGAGAGAACTCATGGTCAAGAAGAAGAGTTGACAAAGGCAGCAAGGAAGCATGATATGGAATGCTAAGTGGAGCAAGTGGTGGCACCGCTATAAAGATGGATGTTTGGTCAGGATGCTTTGGGAGGAAGGCTGGAGGCTCCCAGCTCTGGATGGGTCCCAGGGACATCTTCAGAGTAGAGCTGATGCCATTTGACCTGTGCCTTGATAGATGAGCAAGAGTCACCAGGCAGAGGATGGCAAGACAGACATTCCTGGCAAGGATCTTGGTGCAGGGCTTCCCAGCAAGTGACAATCTTGTGACTGGAGTGCAGGTCATTTTGGGGAGACATGGCAGGAATGTTAGGGTAGATCCTGGGATGGCAGAGCCTTTCCTCCCTTAGCTTCCAGGGAGCCCTGGTGTTGGAACAGTATTTCCTGGGGTGTGGGCCACAGCTTGCCAGGGCACCTCGCCTCAGGGTCAATATGTGCTTAGGGGTGGTTCTTTGTAGGGTGGCCTTTCTGTTTAGAGCAGTCATTATTTTTGATCCTTTCCCACAAAACTGTCCACAAAACAGAGCATGCTTCCTGGTCCTTAGTGGTCAAAAGGTGGGAAGTCCATCCCCTTACCTGAAATGACTTATCTACAAAAGAATGACCTTTTGTTATGTATTGTTTTCCTTCTGCAACTGGGACCTAGTGGACAGGAATGAAAGAAGATGGTCCCCCCGGTGCTCAGATTTCTGGGCCCAGGGGAGAAAAGCATGGCAGGAGGAACTCTTGAAACAAGGGTGCCATGACCAGGGGGGAAGGACTGGAGCCATGTGGCAGGTGGGAGGGGCTGCTTGAAGGGCATACCTGAATGACTGGGCCTGCCAAAGGAAGCCTCTGGCCTTGGAGATCTCCTGGGCCAATCTCCTTAAATCATCTCCTTCAAATAATGGCAACACTGAGTCCTTGAGAAAGAGAAATAAGTGTTATGTTAGACCCATTAAGTGACTAGATGGGACCTGAAAATCCAAACTCTTAGAGGAATATTGTAGCTAATTAAGTGCAGCCTCCCACCCAACGCAGGAGATCTTGTAGGCCTCAGCTTGCATGTTTTCAGGGATAGGGAGCTCACTACCTGCTAAAGGAGTCATTCTTCAAACAGGACACTTTGAAAGATGTCTAAAAGTCAGTGTAGGAAGGGGATAATAAAAAAGCAAGATGGCCTCTGGCCTTCACTGAAGTCAGTAGGGCAAGTGGTATATGCTCCTTATCTCACTGTTACTCAGTAAAATCTATTCAGCCTTTTCTCTATTTCTTTTAGTAAAACAGAGCTTTTCAGACATGCTTTCTTCTTCTGTCACCCAATGAAATTCCAGAGCCTGACCTTAAAAGGAAAATTCTCACAGTTTTCAAGAGAAACTAAGAGAGATGTGAACTGTCCCTTCTCCCTGGCAGCATAGTGGGGATGATCCCATTCTGCCTCCAGAAACTATTCAGAGTCTGATTTTATAAGGCACTAATCTGAGAACCTTCACAATAGGGTTAATTTCTTTACCTGTGTAATAAGGACATGTATTACTTTTACTGGTTCTGTACTCTGTATTATTTGTAATATTTGGCCCTAATTAGTTACTTGAACAAAGAAACCATGCAAAGTACTTGACTTAAAAAATTAAGCCATGTCCTGGGACATAATATTTAGCCTCCAAAAAGAAATCTGGAATTCCTGTTAGTTCTGTTACTTGATAATTTGTGCTGAAAATGTTATATTGACAACAGAACACTCTGAAATGTGTTCTGTGAAATATGAAAAAGGTAGAAATATGTATGTAATTTTTCTAGTAGGTTGGAAGAAGATCACTGATGCCTTCCTCTTGTCCTACATGTGTGATAGAACACACGATTTATTACTTACTTACTTACTGTGATAGAAGCAGATTTATTACTTAACAGTTCATTTGAATATCTGTTTCAATGGATTTAACACAGGGAAACAGAAATATGTAGAAATTAAAGCAGAGAGCTTAGCAGTATGGGTTTCTGAGCTCTGGCTTTACCGTTTACCCTGACTTCAGGTATATTCCCAAGCCTGGCTAAACCTGTTTCTTCATCTGCTGGATGGGTAGAAGAATGGCTGGGAGGATTAACAGAGGTCATCTATATAAAGCAACAAACCTGTACATAGTAAGTGCTCAAAAATGCAAACCATCCTATCATTAAATAACACTCGAACTTCATCTTCTTTCCCAACCTTGCGGAGAGTTGGCCTAAGAGGTGAGCAGCAGGGAAGCACAGGCCTTTTAGTCAATACTTTGACAAGAGGACAGGGATCTTTTAGGAAGGAAAAAATCATGTCTGTTGACATTTTATTGAGCCATTTCACTGGCTCCACAACTACCATTTCAACCATGAGGCTCTTGGTCAGCAGGCGGAGAATTTGGAAGAGCAGGTTGTCACCAACAAGACAGTGATAGCGCCCCGCAGTGAGGGAGGCCAGATTTCTCAGAAGTTATAATCTCCACCCTGCAGCAAGGGACGGAGAGGGCTGGGGCCGGGATGACTGACCTGCCAGGCCAGTTCCCTGGGATCCCAGCCCATGGGGACCTCCTGGGGAAGTCTGTGGGGCAATGGGCCTAAGGGACCTCCTGGGGAAGTCTCTGGGGCTCTGCGCCATTGAGGCCCTGTCAGCATCACCAAGCCTACTCTCCCAGCCATTCTATGGGCAGTGGCAACTGCTGCCACCTCATGAGGCAGATTCTCCCTGCTGGTGTCACCACTTAGACTGGACTCCTCAAAGCACATGGCAAGCATACTCCAGCCCCTTCCCTAATTGGAAATCCATCCAGTGCCTACTATGGGTTAGGCCTACTAGTGACACAGTGTGATCTTTATAGAGTTCATGATTTAGACACAAATATGCACCTAAGTGATCATATATTAGATAATTACATTATTTGCCAATAACTATATTATTTGCCAATAATGTTAACTTTTTTCTGAAGCACTTAAATCTTTCTTGCCTTACACATATTCTTCTTTGGTGATTATTTATAAAAATAACTATAACAATGCTGCTTTAAACCTTTTCTCCTAAATATTCATAACTGTGCTCCCAGGGAAGATGGAGGGAAAGCATGACACGTGACTGTGGGAATAGGTTCAAATCTGTTTCCGTGCTGCAGAGTCAGGGGAACAGGCCCTACTGCTGGATAAGTTAAAGGTACGCCGAGTGGGGCTTTCACTCTGGTGTGTTCCTGCCAGGCCCTCCCAATTCCTGACTCACAGGGCTGGAGCCAGGAAGGACCAGTGTCTGATCGGAGTCCCTGGATTAGGTGAGCTGCTCAGGCTGACTCCCTGTGGCCCATCTGCCCATGTAGCTCAGGGAAATGGTGTGTATTTTCACATCCTGCTCCTCCTTGAGTCTTTGCACTTCACTTAGAATAAGGCTGCAGCTTGTGTCTGGCTTGCCATCGGTCAGGAGGTACAATCCTTCCACATCATGAAAACTGAAAGCGTTCTGAAGAAGCATGCAGTTTGTCTGATTCAGTGTGGGAGCTTACCAGGAAGAGAAAAAACAAATGGCCTGCTGTTCCCAAGGAAAAAGTGTTGGATTGGATCCTAGTGTCTTAGTCCATTAAGACTGAGAGGCTCCCCTTTCAGCCCACCACTGACAAGAAAGCTGCTGAGGTTTAGGAGAAAGAGTACAGTTCACTTCCAGGCTGGTTAACCCCACACAAGTCACTTAACCTCTCTGAGCCCTGTGTCTTCTATAAAGTGAGAACAATGAGCATCCCTTTTTCACTGGGTTGTTGGGAAAATACAATGATTTTACACTGAGGACATTCCAAAGCATTGTGCAATATCCATATATGGGGTGATGCTATTTCTTTTTTTGCTACAAGGTCAGGCTCCAGGCTGGAACTTACCAATAATGCTTGCAAGGCTGTGGTGCTGCCCTGAGCAGGGAGGTGGGTCACCCACTGCATGGCCTCATGACATGCTGTGTCTGAGGTCTCCACCAGAGAGTCCTGCCACAGTTGTAGGTCCTCAGAAGAGGTGATCAGGTTAAAGCTGGGGTGGGGGTGGGAGGGGGAAGAGACTGGTTAGAACATGTCAGTCTATATGGAATTCTGGTGAAGTAACCTCCGTGAGCACTGTTCATGCCTGCCAATGGAGACCCTCACAAGGAGCCCCAGGGACCCTCAGGGAGAGGGCTGTGGACTACAGGAGAATAAGTAGGTACACAGTCAAGATTCTGGATGCAGACAGAAGTAAATTTAAATACCACTTGCAGGTTATGTGATCTCCAACAAATTATGTAACCCAAAACTTAGTTTCTTTTTCTGAAAAATAGGGATGATAATAACAATAACTCTTGGGGTCTTTGTGAGAATTGAGTTAAACCATGCATGTAGGTGCACAATAAATGTTTGCTCTTTTTAATATTAAGGCAAGAATGAGTCCCAGCCTAGGACCAGTCTGTTGCTGTCCCCTTAGGATCAAACCTTCTCAGGAGAGAGAACAAACAACCTACTGCCTCCAATCCTTAAAAATCAAGTACAGCTGAAATCACAATTCAAAATGGTTTATTTCCTCTGTCTGCAATTGATTGTGGGCCTGAACAGGATTTCTAAAATCCACTCTACTTCTACAGGAGAATTCAGTGTTCTTTTGTGCTCAAGTAAGCTGATCATCAGAGCATTTCAGAAATGGCCTGGCCCTTTGGAACAGTGAGGAGGGAGTGGCCTTGGCCAGAGAAGCCCCAGGGACAACCCCTTTGATCTTCTTCCACCCCTACACCCCTGCCTCTTACCCGTCACAGTGTTTCCTCAGCTGCTCCCAAATCAGCAGAATCAGCTCTGTCTTCACCTGCTGCAGGTAGGGGCCCATGGACCCTGAGGTGTCCAGCAGGATGCACACTCTTTTCTCCAAAATGGCACCAAACAGTTGGTGGCTCCCTGCTCCAGGTGAGTTGGGGCAAAGGCAGGGAAGGAGTGAGGGGTCACCCCTCCTGGCTGTTTCTCCTCACTGTAGCTATCAAATACATAGTCTTGCAACAACAGTTGCTTGACTGATCATTGATCAGCTGTCAACCCACTTGGGGATGGCCTTTGCAGTGTTGTCAGAGGGGTTGATGGTCCTAGGGTAGATCTGGTTAGGGGTCTGGGCTTTGGGAGATGAAGATTTCAGCTGTGGCTTCACCTGTGATTACTTGTACAAGTGGCTATACCTACCCTGGGCTTAAGCTTCCTCATTCCTCAAGTTAAGTGATTGAACTAAGTAGCATCTCAGTATTGTCTGGGGCTAGAAAGATATAATAGAGCACAAAGCCTGTTGACTGACCAACAGGAATCAACTGAGCATCCACTATGTGGATGCCTGGTACTGTGCGAAGTGCAGTGGTGATCAACAGAGCTTGCGTTTGGGCAAGGAAGACAGAAGTTACAGCTGTGCCATGGGCTCTGACAACATTAATGAGGCACATAATGGAGAGAATCTGAGTTGGAAAGATGTGGGTGGGGAGCAGATAAACAATGACTGCAGGAGGCATAACAGTTAGCTGAAGGAAGAGGTGGGGTGTGGAAAGAACAGCTTGTGAAAAGCTGGTGGAGGGACAGAAGAGCATGGCCTGTTTGAGGGACAGTGAGAAGGTCAATGTGTGGAATAACAAAGGCTGAGAAGAGAGACCCAAGGGGAAGGGACAAGAAAGAAAGCTCGAGAGGTTGTTAATAGATTGGGAATTTATCTCAAGGTGAAACAGAGAGGGCCAGTGACTTGCCCAGGGTCACCCAGACTGGCAGTGACAGCCGAGATTCATACCCAGGTCCTTTGATCTATACTTAAAGCAACCGCCAACCACTGCCCTTCCAGAGGCTTTGACAAGTGGCAGTCATCACTATAACCCACTGCCCATGGACTGTGACTACCAGAGGAGTAGACCAGATGAATTTACACAGGACCCTGAGTGGCCCACACAGGCTCTCTATAAAAGGCTCCTGTTCTCTTTCCTCCTATTGTTCCAAGAACCCACCCAGCCCCAGAGCCTAAACTCCCTCCCATCTAGATATAGCTGTCTGCCTGGTCTCTTGGGTTTGATGCTCAGCCCACCTCCTACTCTCCAGCACACCCTCCTCTGCAATATGAGCTGGGCTCCACCCAGCCAGCATGTCCATTCACCTCTCCCAGAGGGGCCTTGATGCTCTTTGTAAAGAAGAATGGAGAACTTCTCTGTCAAGATACCCCCATCTCTACCTTCAGGGCAGTTCTGTGGGACCCAATCAAGACTAAATTGAGCTTCTCTAGGGCCAGTCCCTCTGTCATACCCAGAGAGGCAAGGTGGGGAAGTTGGCTCTGCAGAATATACCTGGACGACCTGGGTCCCCTCTGGTGCTCTTTGGCCCATGCTCAACCTCCCTGTCATCCAGCACCTTGCCTGACCTCCAAACCCAGAAGGCATGCTGTATCTGGATGACCTTCCTGGCCCAGTCCCAGACCTGACAGTTTGTGAGTGCCTGGCCTGGGGAGGACTGACCCTGGCATCCCTAAGCTCACCACACAGCAGCCTCTGCAGCCTCGGGACATAGTGTCTCATCACCTTCTTGAGGCACATGATGTATGTTTCAATTTCCCTGGGTGTCCACTGAATGCATCTCACCATCCCTTGTATTAACACAAATAAAGGCAAATTGCCCCATCACTATTTCTTCATGTCTCCATACCCCTTAAAAGAGTTTAGTCCACTGTGGCTCATAATTTCCCAAACATTATTAAACATACATTTTTGTTTGTTTGTTTTAAAGCTTTTCTTTTATTATGTTACTAGGCGTATGGTTCTAGGATGGAATCAGGAATTGGAATGATGGTTTTGTGGCAAATGTGGTCACTGTCTTAATGAAAAATGTAGTATCTCTAAATTTTAAAGCAGAAAAGCCTTTATGGTAGGATGGGAGACCCATACATTTCAAAGCAAAGGGTGACCTTGGGTGGAGAGGGGACAGTATGATTGAACTCTCTTAAAAATTTTCTGGTGGGTAATTTTGAACTTGGTGGCTATATTTTAGCTTTATAGTTTCCCGTCATCTTGATAATGTCATGAAAAAAAAGGGGGGGGCAAGGAAATAAAATGAAACTTTTAAAAAAGCATGGCTAGATGTTCATTTTGTACTAAATATACCTGGTCCAGTGTCAAAGCAATGAGAAAACAGGAGTCCAAAAGTAGAAAATAGAGAAGAGAACCCCCTTACCTCCTGTGATAAGCCCTGTTCTCGCCATCCTACCAGGAGCATCATCAGTGTTCAGGGACAGAGTCCTTGTTGGTGAGTATGTCAGCCGTTGCCCTGTGTTCTCAGCTACTGTCTTTGACCCTGCATCCAGTGAGCCTGTCTAACCTGAGTATGGCCCCAGGCTCCCTGAGGGGCTCACTTTTCTTCCAGAAGGATTCTGCATTACCTGTTCCCCAAGAGCAACCCCACTTTGAGGGGAGGGGTTTGGCAGGAAGAACAGAAGCCACTGTGCATACATTCACTGGAAATTCTCCGCAACACACACTGCCACTTGGGGCTGAGAAGAGGTGGGAGTTGGGAGAGAAGAACACCACCAACAATAGAATCCTGACGTACAGTGACCCCTGCACCGGGGGAGATGCTGCAGTATGTGGCTGCCGCCAGCCTCTGTGCTGACTTCTGATGAGTGCAATTGGGACCAATGCATCTGGAGATCTCCATCTTCAGTTTTTTTAGCCCGTAATTTGCCACCCACTTTAGAATAAAGAAAAGAACTATTATCTTGGGTGATTCGGGCTGAAGTTAATTATTGTCTGACTCATATGTTAAAATGTCCTCTTTGAAAACTGTCTCATGTTTGAAATGTGGGGTTCCTTGGTCCTCACTGAGAGAATCCATTGTATGTAGATTCCCCAGTTGGGAAGAGCTGCACAAAGAATAGGGACAACAGGGAACAAAATTTATTGAGTACCTGCCTCTTCCTAGTCTGGTGGACGTTGTTGCTTCCCCAACATCATTTCAACCTTCCCCCCAAAAATTTGGATGGAATCCCTGACTGGTCTAAAGTTCACACTGTAAGCTACTGAGCATAATTTCAGTCTCGTTGTCACAAGAAGAGTCACAAGAATGAGCAGGTTCCACGCAGTCAGAGCACAGCATCCAGTATTGACCAGTCAGAACCAAGCTCAGATTTCATTGAATGGTTGAGGGAAGAAAGGTGTTCTATCTTCTGGATGAACAAGAAAAGGTATTTCTGTTACTTGCAACAGAAAGGATCTGACACCACTAAGAACTTTATGCAAAATATACTTCAATTAGTCATTGATCTTATGTGATAGGTACAATTGTCTTCATCTTACAAATGAGGACATTGAGCCCCAGCCAGTATGGCTCAGTTGGGCAGCATCCCGCGGACCAAGGGGTCATTGGTTCAATTTCCTGTCAGGGCGCATGCCTGGGTTGCAGATTTAGTCCTTGGCTGGGGCATGTAGGAAGGTCAGCCCATCACTGTTTCTCTCTTACAATGATGCTTCTCTCCCTCTTCGTCTCCCTCCCCTCCCCTCTCTCTAAAATCAAAAATAAAAGTAAAATAAAATGAGGACATTGAGATTGAATGTAGCTAAGGGACTTGCCCACGGTCACCCAACCAGGAGATGGCAGACTCAGGTTTCAAACCTTGTAGTATTTAATCCCTAGCAAGTCATTTTAAGCAAGTTTCTTCTCACTTCCATGTATGCCCACCCTTGTAGAGGTAATGACTTGTAGGAGGAATTATTGCCTAGGGAAACATGTGCTGGTGCAGACAATTGTATACTTCTTGGCTTGAGCAGATTATATCCTCTCTGGGCAATTCAATAGAAGAGCTAATCCTTCTTATGCTTCTTCCTCAAGAGTACTTCCTGTTCACTGAGCCTGGGAGAAACAGAGTAAGGTTACCCTTTGCACCTCTTCCCTTTCCTTCCCTCCCTACACCACTCCTTTTTACATAAATTTCTCTGTCAATGGAGTCAGATGTAAAATCTTAGGTGCAATTTGCTGGGGTCGAAAAGGAGGATGTAAAGTGGATCAGGGCAAGCCTGCTGGGCTCTCTCTTCTTCACACCTCAGTGAGTGGTTCCTGGGACCTGTGCCATTTCACAGCAATGAAGCTAGCCTAGAGACTTCCTCCCCTGTCAGCCTAGGAGCCGAGGACACTGTCCCTCGTAGACGGAGTGGGAGCACTGCACCTGGGGACCTCTGGAGACCTTCAGTATTGACTTACCTCGTTTTCTGCTAGTGTCAAGACTGCATGTCCATTTTCCTGGTCTCAGAGATCTGAGTGGTGTGAGGATAGGCCTGGTCCAGAGGCAGTGTTGCCCATGTCCTGGGACTGTGGAGAGTCTCCTCCCTACGGGGCCTGCTGGGCTTACAGTATCCTCCAACTTACCCGTGTTATTCCTAGTTGCTGTATAAAACAGTAAGAGAGACATCTCTGCTTCCCTCGCCTGGGTCTTCCTCTTCCATTCTGCAGTGTCCTTTCTGCCTGACTGGGCTGCAGCCGGAGGGCATGTGGCCTGTGGGCTAGAGTGAGTGTTTTCCATACCCCATCTCACTTCATCCTCTCTGTTCCCCAGTTTACAAGTGAGACAAGTGGAACTCCACATCAATAAGACATAGAGCAAAGATTCCACACAGGTTCTATGGATTCCAGGGCTCTGCTTTGAGCACTGTGCTGTCTCTGATGTTGGAAGTAAGATACATGGTCTTAGATTTTAGGAGCTGAGTCTTCTCATGAAACTACCTATGCCTGTCACAAACAGCTGGCACTGGTCATTATTCTTAGCCCCTCAGCCTGAATTTCTTCATCAGTAAAATGGGGAGATAATAGATTACCTGCCACATAGAATTGCTTGTTAGAAGCTTTAAATGGGACAGTCTTAGCAGAAGGGCTGATGCATGGTCAAGACTTGTGATCTTCAATCATTTTGGTTACTATCATCATTAGCACATCTCAGCCATGCCCGTGCCCCCACCCCAAGGCCAGCCTCACCTAGTGGGGTGCCCACTTTACCACTGAGTGGCCACCACACCATAGCTTTCAATAAGGGACTTCTCTCTCCATCAGGGTCATCTTTAATACTCTAGAAAACAGGCAGTCTTCTCCATCAGTGGCCTATTTTCTGTGTCAGGCACAGCCCACTCATCCTAGCCTCAATCTGTCAATTACAAACCTTTGCAGGGAGGGACCTAAGTGACTAGATTCCTGAGACATTTTTCCTCATCTCCTGCTGCAGATTCAGAGGAGACTCTGGCTTTTTTTTTAAAGTACAGTGCACTTTATTATTTTTTATAGTTTTTAAAATGTTTCTTTCCATTATCATATTCTCCTTATACTCTCTTCCACTTCCTCCTACACCCTCCCCACCAAGCCTCTGGCTTTTGAAGTAAAAAAAAAAAAAAAAGAGTATGTATGTGATGTATGTGTGTGTGTGTATGTGCCAGCACTTTCTTCACTAATCACCCACTCCTCTTCCCACTGGACTAGGACTTCTGGGCCTCCAGCATGACAGGAAGCCATTCAGGTAGCTGTGCCCTATTGAGTACTTCCATTTTAAGGGAAGGGTCCCTTGGTCACTGGGCACAGCTGGAACGTGGTGACAGTTAAACAAAGTCACCCAGGGCCCTAGACCATCTGAGGTCTTCTGGGTGAGATGCTGTGAAAGAGGCTTGGAGATGCCACTCTGGGGGCCCCCCTCCCTGGTTTCAGGAGGCCCATTAAAGGCTTTGGCATGGCCTAAGCCCCTCACACTGAGTCAGCTCAGGCAATACTGAAGGCTCAAGAGGCAGACCCTGGAATTACAGGGTTTCACCTCAGAATTTGGGGAGGCTCCTGAAACCTGGTGGAGTTCCCTGAAGGAGGACAGTGCCTGTGTGGACAGCATCTTCCATAAACAAAGTTCCCCTGGGACGGAAGTGGGTCACACACTGTCTGGGATGCGTGTTCTCACTCTGAAATGTGCTGGTTCATGAGGTCTATGAGTTAGTGAAATGCTGAAGAGCTGAGGGATTTCTTTGCTCCTTCTGCTCACAAGTACCAGGGAGTGTGGAATCTCCCCCAGTCATAGCTCTAGAGGCCCCTTCTGGTTGCTGAAGTGGCTATTTTATGCTGGGCCTATCTGACAGGCTGTGACTGGAGATAAATACCCCAGGGCTCAGGATCCTCTCAGGCCCCTGCTAAGCCTCGGGAAGCTGCAGCAAGAGCCCATTAGATACTCTAACATCCTCATTTCTTTGCCCCTGGGAGACCCTCCAGGATGAGCCCTTCTGCCGTATAGCCATGGTGGGTTTAAATTCTATGGGGTCCTTTGGACATAGATAGGGGTCAAACCTGGCAGAGCCAAAGGTGGTGGTGGTTGTGGGGAGGCAATAGGTGATCCCACAGCTGAGAAGCAGGTCCCCCAGTGAAGGTCCTCCCTCTAGAGGCCAGGGCTGGAGGCAGCCACAGGACCCTCACCACTGAGGACCCTGCCCTGATCCCGCTGGCCCTGGGGTCAGAATGTCTGGTCCAGGTCACTTCAGGATCTAGGAAAGACTAGGAGACGTGGTGGAAACAAAATCCTGTGTGTTATTAGGGAGGGAGAGTCAAACCATTTTGACCACCGAGGGAACTGTGGTTTTGCAAAATTTCTTGGGCTGACTTCTTTGCTTGAGCATCTTTGGCTGTTCTGGGCGGGCTGCACTTTCAAGGACTTTCCTGGACTCGTTCTTCAGGGAGGACACTAATAAGGCACACTGAAACAAGGGTTGGGAGGGTTAGCTGCACCGCAGCCACAGTGCACAGTCTTCAAGTGGGACACAAACACACACACACACGCACACACACACACACACGAGAAAGAGAGAGAGAGAGAGAAAGAGAGAGAGAGAGAGAGAGAGACTAGGTCTACTAGGATCCTTGGATTCCTCTTTCCATCTCTACCTGGGTAAGAGAGCCCTGTGCATCAATCCTATCAGTAATAAGTACCATGTATGCAGGGCCTGGGATGCACCAGTCACTGGACCAGTTAAAGCCTAGGCATCTCAAACCCTCAAACCCAGATGGACAAGTACTATCTTATCCCTACTTCACAGATGACAAAATCCAAGCTCCATGAGTGTAAGGGACTTTTCCAAAGCCACTCTACTAGTACATAGAGGACCTTCAATTCAAACCCAGGTGCGAATGACTCCAAAGCCAGTGCTCTTTCTACATGTGGACCCAGCATCCACATATGCTGGTCAGCTCACTGCGTGCCTGGAGCTAACTCCAGATGTTGGCAAGAATAGTGTGCAATACTTGGTTCCTTTGCCCACCCATTTCTCAGCTGTTGAAATATTCTCTAGTAATTATTCTCAACCAAAGTACTAGGAGGCATCATTAGAATGTAAAAAACATTATTGCCATGAATATCTTGTGAATGAGTTTTTCAGATGAGTGAACTGGACAGATGTGCACCTGAGGAGAAGGGGTTTAAAAAACCAGCAACAAAGAGGGTCCCTTTCAGGGAGGACAGTTAAGCACATTTAGGAGAGCCAATCCAATGGACAGGGAGGAAAAGAATGAAGAGGTGGCCCTGCCCTCCCAGGAGCTCACAGTGTGTTATTCTGCAAATGGCAGTCATTAAAGTATAAGTCAGGCTGAGTCTCCTCCTCAGGTTCCTCTGCCTCCCCACCTTGACCTTAGTCACCAACCTGCTCTTTGTCCACCCCCATGGCTTGAACTGCTCCAGCCCTCATCTCTTCTCACCTGTCTGAAGGATGCCCCCATTTGTTACCTCACAGGCCTCACAAACTCATCTTTGTCCCAGGCCCACCCTCCCAGCATCTATCACAATTCCTCTTTTGTTCTCTGTCTCTTGGTCAGTCATGTGTACCAGTGAGGAACTTGAGAGTACTCTTGGGTTTCTTCTTCTCCCTCACCCCGTACAGTCAGTCAACCACAAGTTCGGTCAATTTGTCCCTAAATATCCTCATGTCCATTCCCTTAGTTCCATTCTCATTGCTGCTGACATGATCTGACCCCTTTCTACCTCTCTAATCTTGCCTTCAACTGCTCAACCCCCTTCTCTGAAAAAGTTATATTTTAGTACGTCTTGAATAACAAGGAGAAATCCATGGACAATCTGGGAGGGGAATGGCAGGCTGAGAATATAGCAGGTGCAAAAGCCCTGAGTTTAAGAATGAGCTCAATGTATTCAAAGAACTCAAAAGAAGCCAGAATGTATAACTCACAGACCTAAAACCAATGACTTATAGGAATCCCTCGTGTTTCATCTGAAGCTTTGAGGGTCAGTTGATCAGGACACAAGGAGGAAAGCTGATGTGGGATGAGTTGTGTCACCCGAAAGATATGTTCAGGTCTGAACCCCTGGTACCTGTGACTATGACTTTACTTGGAAATAAGGTCTTTGTAGATGTAATTAAGATGTTAGTTAATGAGGTCATACTGGTGAAGGGTGGGCCCTTAATCTAGTGTGACTGGTATCACTACTAGAGGAGAAGGGACACAGACATACACAGAGGGAGGAGAGCCATGTGAAAACAGAGGTAGAGATGGAGTTGTGCTGCCATAAGCCAAGGACACAACTCTCCTTATGCCGCCAGTGACAAGGACACCCTCCTTGACAAAACTTCAGTCAGGCTCTTCTGAGCCCTTTTCTCAACTAGGCTTCAACTCTGGCTGCTAAATCCAGTTTTGGCAAAGAATCTTGCTAAGTAAATTTAGTGGGAATCTCCCACCCTTGATGTTTGATCACGTTCTTCATCCCCTGTCCTCATATCTAAGTCCTTGACCTGCCTTCAGCAAGAATCCTGCTAAGTCCATTTAGCAAGAATCCCCCTATCCTTGAAATCTAACCAAGTTTCTCTTAGTAATTTTCCATCCATGACCCTGTCACTCTGCTCCTTGGCTATAAATCTCCAGCTGTCTGCTGTGTTTGGAATTGAGTTCAATCTCTTTTGTTGCAATAATCTTGCATAAAGTCTTCCTAGCCATGTTTAACAAGCACCTAATGCAATATTTTTTCTCTAATACCAGCTGCCACTGAGGGATTGTAAACAGAGTTTTCAGAGGGAACATGGCCCTTCTGACACCATGATTTCAGACTTTTAGCCTCTGAAACTGTGAGAGAATACATGCCTGATGTTTTGACCCTCCTAGTTCTTGGTACTTTGTATGGCAGTCCCAGAAATAATATAAAAGCTGGTGCAGTCATTTGCCCCACCCCTAAAGCCTACCTTTTGGGAGTAGTTGAGAGCTTTTTCCATCTCAGACATGATGGCGTTGATGTCATCACTTTCGTAAATGCCTGGAAACAAAGCACATCGTGAGTGTGGGAAACAATGTAGATACCACAAGTATCTGTATCTGTACACAGAAGGGCTGTGTGGAGACAACCTGAGCTGAAGGGGCAAGGTGGGATCTTAATAGGTTGAGCTGACCAGCCCCCACCCCAACACAGTCTAGAGGTGGTCACAGTGAGGTTACCAGCAGTGGGGCTGGCCTTGGGACACAGTACCCTGGTACCCAGTCAAGAGCTTGCATCCATAGGGAAAGCAGGTTAGGAACAAAGATCCTGCTATTCCAGTGAATAAAATCACCCAATTTGGGATTATTTAAAGTGGCTAATGTCTGTAGTGAATATCGATGACAAGGTCGAGAGGAACTATAGAATAAAGGACTAAGAAGACAGACTCTGAAGTTGGCCTGCGTGGGTTCAGCTCCTGGTTCCACCACTTACTACCTGTGTCCTACTTTTAGTCCATGTAAGAGGGGATGGTGGGGAAGAGAGCTTCTTTGGCATCTGCTTTTTTTCAAATGTCTTCAGCTCAGAACAATTCTTATGCCCAAGTGGCATATTTTGGGATGGCATATTTTGACCCCCTATAACTATCACAAAAAATTCATTGCTCTGTGCTCCGTGTACAACTGTCTTGTCACCCACCTGTTATGAACATTCTTCCTTTGGGAAACACTTAACTAAGGAACCTTTAGGGCCACTTCCAGCTCTGACATTCTAAAGTATTTAAAATATAGTTTTAACTTTCTTTTTTTACTTAAATAATTGTGGTAAAATATGCACAACAAAATTTATCATTTTAACTATTTTTAAGTGCACAGGTCAGTGGCATTAGGTACATTCCCATTGCTGTGCGGCTGTTACTACCCTCCATCTCTAGTGAGTATGTATTGACTATGTGAAACACAGTTTTCCATTTTTTAATATGATTTTCACATGCTGCTTTTCTGGAATACATCTATGGCACAGGGAGTGATGCTGGCACTGAGATACCAGAAAGAAAGAGGTGGAAGAGCCAGCCAACACTTACGGACCTGTGTCTCCAAACCAGTGGAAGCGGCCACCAGCAGCCTGGGTGAGCTCTCTGTAGGCAGCGGCCGTGTCAGTGCAGCTGGCATAGCAGGCAGGGGGCATGGTGTTCATCTGTGGCTCACCCACGTAGAAGAGACACACATTCAGCTGGAGGTCGCAGCCCCCACAGGCCTCAGCCATGTAGGCACTGAGCACGGGCTGTGGGGGAAAGACGGCAGTGGGCTCTTGCAGCTGCTAGCCCTAGCCTGATCATCTTTCTTGAGGGCCTACTATGTGCCAGATTTAGCACTTGGCACTGAAGATAAAGAGCCAAATGAGCTGGGTGATAAGTTCTTTATCTTACTAGGGTAAAGCAGGGGAGCTGGATCAGAGAGCCTGCCGACACTAAGTGTTGCAACCTGGTTACAACCTGGGAACTTGTTAGAAATGCAGCTGCTCAGGCCCTGGGCCAGATCTTTGGAACAAGGATCTGCATTTTGACTTCTGGCCAAGATGAAGGCATAGGTAGATACATTTTGCCTCCTCACACAACCAAAAGGACAACAAGAAATTTAAAAATAAAAAATAACCAGGAATGCCAGAAAATTGAACTGTATGGAAGTCTGACAACCAAGGAACTAAAGAAGAAACATTCATCCAGACTGGTAGGAGGGGCAGAGATGGTACTTGGAGTAGAGAAGATTCGTGGCAATGCAGCAGCTGGTGGACCAGGCAGTTCCACATTTCCATGAGGATAAACTGGGAGGAACAGCTGGGAAGCAAGAGAGATCGCGCAATCCAGGGTTCCAGTGCGAGAAAAGACAGCCTCAAAACCTTTGGAGGTAAAAACCCGTGGGGGTTGCGGCAGCAGGAGAAACTCCCAGCCTCACAGGAGAGTCCACTGGAGAGACCCACAGGGTCCTAGAACATACACATACACAAACACACACACCTGGGCATCAGCACCAGAAGGGGTCAATTTGCTTGTGGGCAGTGGGGGAAGTGATTGAAAGCCGGCAGAGAGTCCAGCAAGCAGCATTGTTTCCTCTCAATAGCCCTCCTCCACAGACAGTGTTAGAATGCAGTGACCTGGGTTGCCCCACATTGGTGAATACCTAAGGATCCACCCCTTCCAATGATTTCCAAGGCCCAGCGAGACAAAGAAATATGGCCCAAATGAAAGAACAGATCAAAACTCCAAAAATAGAACTGAGCGACGAACAGAGAGCCAACCTATCAGATGCACAGTTCAAAACACTGGTAATCTGGATGCTCACAGAAGTGGTAGAGTATGGTCACAAAATGGAGGAAAAAGCAAAGGCTATGCAAAATGAAATAAAGAAAAATATACAGGGAACCAACAGTAAAGGGAAGGAAACCGGGACTCAGATCAACAATTGGAGCAGAAGGGAGATAAACATTCAACCTGAACAGAGTGAAGAAACAGGAATTCGAAAAATGAGGAGAGGCTTAAGAACCTCTGAGACAACTTTAAACGATCCGACACCTGAAACATAGGGATGCCAGAAGGAAAAGAGGAAGAGCAAGAAATTGTAAACTTATTTTAAAAGATAATGAAGGGGAACTTCCCCAGTCTGGCCAAGGAAATATACTTCCAGGAGACCCAGGAAGCTCGGAGAGTCCCAAAGAAATGGGTCCCAAGGAAGCACACACCAAGGCACATCATAATTAAGATACCCAAGATTAAAGATAAGGAGAGAATCTCAAAAGCAGCAAGAGAGAAGGGGACAGTTACCTACAAAGGAGTTCCCGTAAAACTATCAGCTGATTTTTCAGAAGAAACCTTGCAGGCAAGAAGGGGCTGGCAAGAAGTTTTCAAAGTCATGAAAAGCAAGGACCTACATCCAAGATTACTCTGTCCAGCACAGCTATCATTTAGAATGGAAAGGCAGAAAAAGTGCTTCCCGATAAGGTCAAGTTAAAGGAACTCATCATCACCAAGCCCTTATTATACGAAATGTTAAAGGGGCTTATCTAAGAAAAAGAAGATCAAAAATTCTGAACAGTAAGACAGAGGGAAGGGGTTGGGAGATGAATGGGGGAAAAGGTACAGGGAATAAGCTGCATAAATAGTAGGTACAAAATAGGCAGGGGGAAGTTAAGAATAGTATAGGAAATGGAGAAGCCAAAGAACTTATATGTACAACCCATGGACATGAACTAAGGCGGGGTGGAATGCTGGAGGGCGGAGTGATACAGGGTGGAGAGGAACAGAGAGGAGAAAAAAAAATGGGACAACTGTAATAGCATAATCAATAAAAAAAGAATCTGCGTTTGAACAACATCCCCACGTGATACTCCTGCACACTAAAGTCGAGTCTGGAAACATTTGCTAGGCATCCACCTAGAGGAAGATGTAGAGTCATGAAGAATGGGGATGCCCAACACAGGGAGCACCCACCATGTCCTGGTCAGGAATGCCCCCTGTGAAGAGGTAGATGCCCTGTGATTGCTGTTTGTCTCTGTCCTTGAAGTCCACTTCCACAGCTTTCCGCAGGGCACTGAGGATATTCCTGCTGCCCCAACACTGTAGGGTCAGGGCCCACCTAGAGGCAAGAAAGGCCATGCTGAGGGAGGTCAGGAGCGAGACCAGGAGCAGAAGGCAGACATTTTCAGATTCATGCCCATGTGTGTTGGAGGGCAGGGATTCTATTCCCAGTGGAGAGGGGGACAGAAAAAATAGCACCACCCAGGCTGCCCTCAGACACAGTAGGTGCAGGCCCTGCCCATCACCTACTGCCAAGCGCTTTGTAAATTGTCATGGCTCACGGAAACCATCTCGGGCCTCCAGCTTTCGATTGAGCTTCCAAACCTTGGAGGAAAGGAAAGAGGGCTTGTTCTTAGGCAGAAGATTGCTCCACTCCGTACCTCAGCTCTTTGAGCTCCCTAGGTTCTAAGGAGGCCAAAATCCTAATTACACGCCCAAAATGTTAGGATGCCGTTGGCCTGGGCCAGCCACGAGATTTCCTCACTGGTCATGACCTATCCCGGTACACTCAGGTGAGGCAGCGCTGGGGCTCTCACTGGAGACATAGAGACAGGCTCAGCTTTGGCCATCTGGCCAGACTTCCCTCCTGACGTGTTTTGGCAACTTGTGTTGTCAGTGTGAATTTCCTCATCCCCTAAGAAGGGAGACCTTTCTCCCTTTTTAATCTCCCCTAGCACACTGATTCATGCTTACAACATATTTTCATTCTCTATCTATACCATAGTTTTTAAAAAATATGCATCATTTCATCTTTCCCATGAGACACATTTAAATCCTTGGGAAGAAAATTTATCCCCTTCATCCAAGAAAAAGTGACTCCTCTCTGGTTCAAGACTGGTTCCTCTTTTTGGACTCTTGACTTGTCATGGCCAATCTCTTCGGAGACCTTGCACATGCCTGTCTCAACATGTCTGTCTCCCACTCCAAGGCCTTATGTTCCTTGGGGACTGGTTTTGTGTTTTAGACTAATGCCCAGCACAGTGACTGGTGCATGGCAGGCTTTCAAGAGAAGTCTGTTGAACAAATGAATGAATAGATGAATTAATGAATGAAAACATTGTCTAACATGTTTCCACAAGCACCTTTTCTATAGAATTTATTAGGAAAAGATTAGGCCCTGATACGGAATAATATACAATATAACTGCTGACTTACTAGGTTTAGAACACTCCCTATTACATGTGAAGTTGTGTAAAAATGTATACTTCAAGTGGGTTCCTTTTCTCTTCCTCTCCTAGTTAAAGTGGTATGCAATTAAAAATTTATATAAAACTATGTATATATTGAAATTTATGTAACTGTAGATATTTAAACTATATATAAATTTTATGTAATTTTAATACTAACATGTGATATATAGTTATGTATAATTTAAATATATAGTTATATATAATTAAAAATATATATTCAAATATATATAAAATATTTAAAATTTATTTTGTATTTTAAATTTAGATATACAGTTTTATATGTAAAAATATATATTTTAAATATACATTATATTGATATAACTTAATGTATATAACTTAATTATATAGAGCTACACATAAAATTAAAACTTAGAATTGAAATCCTAAATGAAATATTATGCCTTACTAGACCCAAGCTGGGAACTCAGACTGGAGCATACCTGGGGGCCTTTCTCTTTCTCTCTTGTGTTTATCAGCTTAGAAGCCAAATGGGGCAAGGGGTGGAGTTACTTTATCCTGGCTGATCAAGCAGTGTTTTGGGGCTGCTTTTTACCTTCGCCCCAATGGGACTGTTCTGCAACCATTTAATTATTCAATGCCCCAAACAAGATCATTCAAATCAGATAAACTGACGGCTGTCCCAGGATGCTGTGTGCTCAGAACGTCTGTCGTCCACTCCCTTCCAGAAGCCTCAGTCCAGCAGTGAAACCACGCAAACCGACCTCCCCCATCAAGAACTGGGAACTTACGCGATGACATTGAAGGCGTCCTTGTTGGACAGTTGCTCCTCCAGCAGAAGTCGCAGGGAATGCTGGATATGAATAATGTACATGGAATTGGTCGCAGAGATATCGAGCAGTATAACCACCCTAAACAGAAACACAAGCTTTAAGAGGAGAACTGAATCTCTCAGATAGTGTTCATTTTGTTCCATTTTACTATTTAAAGTGTTTTCCAGGGGAACTTTACTTGCCAGATTCACAGCTGGCCAAAATCTTTGTGGTTTGAGGTCAACAGATGTGGGTTTACAACAACAGACTTAGGGGGTCATGGAACCTTCTCTCTCAGGAGGTCCTAGCACAGAATAAAATCTCATGGTAGAGATGGTTTAAGGGGCAGAGACTACATATAATGATTTGTATGCTTTTCCTTGTTTAAAGTGCTAGGATTCAATATTAGAGGTTGGGGTTTCTGAAGGAAAAAACAGAAACAAGGTAAGCAAGTTAGATGTAGAATTCTGTGTATCTAGGCCTGTAGGGAAATGTTTGTATCTTCTCATTTCCTTTTTCTGTTTTAAGATCTCTAGCCCCATTCAGCCTTCTCCTTTTACTATTTCTAATCTTATATTCCCACCTCTTCCCTCTGTTCTCATTTTGAGACACGTATGCATAGCAAAAGAAAATCCACTGGATTTAGAATCAGAAGACCTTGGTTCAAGTTTCACTTTCTGTCCCACTTTAGGTAAGTCACAAAACCTCTCTGATTCTTGGTATGTTTCCCATAAACTATTTATAATAAGACTCCTCATAGGATTGTGTTAAGAATTAAAGGATATAATAGATATTACTACAAAGGTTACTATTTTGTAAGAGTAACACATCAAATAAGGTATGGATAATAACGATAATAATGGTCATAATGAACACCCATTGTTTCTCCTTACTCAGTATCCATTACCTCTTCTGGCAACAGCATCCTGATTTTCCTTTGGGAAACACCTCTGCCTCTGTCAGTCCATTTGTTGTGGGTAGGGGTGATCCTCCCCCAAGCTTTGAGAGTGGGTGTTTGACCCCAGGCAATATTTTATCATGCCACTCTGGCCAGGGTGAAGAGCTCACAGATGGGCCCATGCCCCAAGCTCTGGGAGTATTAAAACTGGTAGAAAGTAAGTTGGATGCTTAAGGTGGCTACCTTGCCACCTGGAGGGGAGAGTTGCCTGAAAACAAAGCCATCAGAGAAGAAAGCAGAGCTGAGAGATAGATTCCTGACATGCATGAACCTCTGGATCAAGCCATGCCTGAAGGTAGCTATCAAATCTATTCTGGAATTTTCAGCTACCTTAACAAGATTTCACTGTGTTGTTTCAGCCAATTTTCACTCAGTTTCTATTGCTTTTTAACTGAAAGAATCCTGAGCAACACAATGATATTATTGATGTTGATGATAACGGTGGCGACTTATCCTCCAGGGGTTCTATTGAGTGATTTGCTGATCCTTAATGTAAGCAATGGTTTCTGGTGCTACTAGTAGGGAACCCATGAGTTGGATAAGTGCTGTGTTACACACAAAACCCATGATGGATAAGAATAGTACTTGGGGGAAAGTACCTTTTTTCACAGACGGTGCCCCAGATTCTTCTGCTGGCCAGTGAGAGCCATTCAATCCGCCTCTCGTATATCCGCATAGCTCTGCTGAGCTGTTTCTGCAAACCCATGGACCACACAGAGTGAGCAATTGCACGAGGAGTGGCTTATTAAAGGGTCTGAGGGGAAAAGGGTATATCCCAGTTGGCTTCTGGGAATGGTGTGTCAAGGCCATGGGTACCCAGGGAGTAAAACATTCCACTAAATTATGGGCAAGTCTGCTGTAAGACCATGAAGAGAAAAATCAAAGTTTTTTATTGCTCCTCATGGGGGAGGAGGTAGATCTTGTCCCAAAGGATCAGAGCCTTTTTTTTTTCTTTTGTTAGATGCATCCAGGTCTCTGCCTGAGGATGGGGTGGAGAAAGCTCCAGAGGTGCCTGTTTAGGGAACACAGTCTCTGTTTATAAAAGAATTCAGTCAATGGCTTGGTGTCTCCACATTACTTGGCACCTTCCTCCCATTCCCCCTTCCCATACCCCATATCCTGACTGATTGAACCCATCACTCACCTGGTACTCATAGAGGAAGGGCAGGTCCACATGAACATTCCTGACTGTCCCATCATGCCATTGAAATTGTACCATTGCCTTCTGCACTCAGGTGTAGCCAGGAGGGGGTGCAGGTGAGTGGAAGCACACCGTGAGGAAGAATTTTAAGTTTAATTTGGGCACTGGGACTCTGACCACATGTGGGGTCAGATTATGATGCCCACCCCTGCCCCACAGATCACTGCCTTGTCTGGAGCTGGAGCAGAGGGCTGTCAGGACAGTGGCCCTTGAACGAACCATGCTGACAGCAGGCAGGCTGTCACCTTGGGAGGCTCTTCTGAACACTGGAGTCTTGATTACAAAATATGGCTGGACATTTTGGTAATAATGGAGTGAGAGACCTTAAAAACACACTGGCCATGGGTTCTTAGGTTTGGGAAGCCAGACAGGCCTTCACAGACACTTTGAAAATCAAATTTGTTCATCTTGTTCTCTCATCTTCCACCAAGTTGTCATATACATATCTTGAAGTATCACTACATCCACCTAGTCCTTCAGCCATCCATCCCCTTGACTTGTCCATCTCTCTTCCCTTTCATTCTTCCATCTTTTTTAAAAAATATTTTTATTTATTCATTATTTTTATAGAGAGTGAAGGGAGGGAGAAAGAGAAGGAGAGAAACATCGATGTGTGGTTGCCTCTCATGTGCCCCCCACCAGGGACCTGGCTCGCCACCGAGGCATGTGCCCTTGTGCCCTGACTGGGAATTGAACAGGCAACACTTTGATTTGCAGTCCGGTGCTCAGACCACTGAGCCACACCAGCCAGGGCCATTCTTCCATCTTTATATTCATCTTTCCACTCATTATTCCTTCCATCTCTCTACCTTTCCATCCTTACTTTAATTTTTACTTTCATCCTTTTATCTCTTTTATTCTTTCTTGTCATTCATCCTTCCATCTTTCCCCTCCATCTGTTCACATTTCCACACATACATATGTCTGCCTACGTTTCCATGTATTCATCAACACTTTCATGCATCTACCCATTCATCCTTTTGTTTCCTTCTTCTTTCCACCCACTCAGTCATCCAGTAAACATTCATTTACTGCTTTACTTGTACTACATATCGGGGACAGAGAGTTTTTTCTTTTAAAGGGATCATATTCTGGTGAGATTTAGACATGTAACAAATGCATGTATTAACACAGTATAGGAGCTAAAGTAGAAGTCTGTACAAGGTAAAGTGGGGTGTTCTGAGTGGGATAGAGGAAAACTTTCATACTGGAGGTAACTAAGGTACCCAATTCACTCCCCTGTGCCCATCTCCCAAGCATCATTTTCAGACAGGTGGAAAGCCTGAATTCCACTCTGGGCCCTCAGGCCCATGATCCTAAGGCTCTGCCTTATGACTGTATTTTCTGAACTCTTAAGAAGGAGCTGCCCTGCAGAGGACGGAGAGAACTCTGGATTTGAGTCACCTCATGGATAGTTGATGATACCGTTTTCTGGAGAATAGGCACAAATTCCTCAATGGGAGAGAATGCGTTGGGTGCCAGAACCTGATAAAGGCTGAGCTTCTTGGCTGTAAAAATAAACGGTGGGGTTTGAAGTGCCATTCATGGAGACCCAGAGGGTTCATGGTTTTTAGTCAGTGATGTGAGTCCTCAGTTCTGCCCTCTTCGGGGATTTACCTTTTAGGCCATTGTCCTTTAGCCATTCTGCAGAAGTCTTGTCCAAATTTGGGAACTCAATTGTGAGGGGAGCTTCATGCTTTGGGGGTTTAGGCAAGAGACTTCTGAGTGGCCCTTTTGCAATCTCCGTGGAAATCTAAATTAAAATTAAAAATCTTCATTACACAACCATAATTTAGAGCTGCAAAGTCCTCAGCCTCCCCTACCTACCCAGTTCACCCAAGGGAGAATCTTAAGACATTACCTGGTAAATTAAAGGCAGTTTGCTGCCCCATCTAACCATCCCCATCCCCTTTTCTGGAATTTCCAGGGGAAGAGGGAGATGTTTCCAGCAACTCTCTTTCTTTTCATTTGCTCATCCTCCTGGCCCCTTCCACACCCTTAGCATTAAGATCAGCATCTTGGCCTCCTGATGAGAGGTGACCCCTCAGCAGGCCCAGAACACAAGACTTCAGGGAACTGGAAAGTAACTCTATGCCAATATCACCTAGGGAGCTCTGATCTAGCCCAGCTTCCCTCGCCCACATTTATAAACTGAAAACCTGAGGTTCTGAGAGGTTAAATCAAGCAGCTCATGTAGGAGTAAAACACAGAACAGCAGTTCCCAAACTTTACATATCTGAGCACTGTTTTCATGAATTTTGCTGTATCTGAATACCATTGTACTGCTATGTACTCAGTTTATTTTTAATCAAACATGTGACATTAAAGTTTTTTAATATTCAATTTGATTTACTTTAAAAAACAGACCCCTTTTTTGTACTTAAGTAATTTTAGAAAGATGTATTACTGCCATAATGAGTTAGTTTTAAATATATAAGGTCAAAAAATATTAATCCACATTGGCTGGTGTGGCTCAGTGGACGGAGCACTGGCCTGCAAGCCAAAGGGTCACTGCTGCGGCTCTTGCTCAGGGCACAGGCCTGGGTTGCGGGCCAGCTCCCCAGTTGGGGGCACAACAAGAGGCAACCAGTCCATGTATCTCTTGCATATTGATGTTACTCTCCCTTTCTTTCTCTCTCCTTTCCCATTTTTCTAAAACTAAATAAATAAATAAATAAATAAATAAATAAATAAATCTTTTAAAAATATTAATCTATATATCACATTACAATCTTGCAAACCACATGTAGTACATGCATTTCATTTTGGGAAATTCCTAACAACCGTTTGACCATCTGACAGACCTAGGTTCAATTAAATTCAATCATTTTCTACCTCAATGATCCCAAGCACATTATCTAACCTCTTAACTTCAGTTTGTTAATTTGTAAGGTGGGGGTAATAATCACCTACAGCAGACTGTTGTTGCAAAGATAAAATAAAGCATTTAGAGAATTAAGCACTGTGCCCATTTTATATTGAGTGCTCAGCAAATGAGAACTATAATTAAAATACTAATGTCATCATGATTATGTATAATGAATAGAAGGGCTGGGACTACAGTTCAAGACCCCAGTGTAGGTGCTATGTTTTTCTCACTGTAACCAGCAAGTATAAATGGATCACATTGCTCTTCTGTCCACAGCTAAGTTTGCCGTGCCCATCTAAACAGCATAAAGCTTTTATGGTGCTTGTGCTACTGTGCTCATGTTAAATCTGTCACAGAGCAGGGACACTGGCCCTTTATAAAGGGCTGGAGGAAAAGGCCATCTTCTAGACAGCCTATACCATGTGGTTGAAGTTTTCCTTACCCTCCAGACTGGAAGACGGGGAAGGTGGAAAGGGTGTCAGGAGCCTGCTTACTTTTCCTTGAAATACAGTTTTTAATTAGGAGATCCACCAGGAACCTTTCTGGAATACTGAAAGGCCTGCTTGGCCTGCCAGCTCAGAGCTCTGAGGCTTTGCCTTGTTTCACTTTCAGGACACAGTGGGGCAACACAGGTGTAGAAGGAAAATGGAGTGAGGCCAGCTGTGAGAAGGTTCCAGAATCTTCACTCACACCTACCTCCTTCATGATGCCTGACAGCTCCTCACTGGGGGCACTGTGGCGCAGAACCTGGATGTGGCCCAGGAGGTGCTGGGCCTTCTGGATTTCTACCAGCAGCTGGTCAATGTCCGGGTTGGTGCAGATCTGAGGGTGGTAGGAGCAAGCAGCCATCCAGAAGTCACTTAGCTACTGGTTGTAGCCAAGGCAAGAGAGGGCAAGGAGTGATGCCAGTTCCTAAAGCTGAGTGGCAGACTGTTTAAACCTTACTTTATAAACTGGGGTCCCCCATGTAAGGGACAGAACTTGCAAACACATTGTGCAACTGAAGGGTTGTCTAACCTTAAAAATATGAAGAAACACTTTATACCATCTAGTAGGCTGCAACAATAGTAATAATTTTAAAAGGACTATAACACTGCTGGTGGGAATGTAAAGGGTACAGCTGTTGTGGAAAACAGTTAGGTGGCTCCTCAAAAAATTAAACAGGATTACTCTATGACCAAGCATTGACATTCCTAGGTATATACCCCAAAACTTGAAAACAGGGGCTCAGATACTTGTACACCAATAGTCACAGCAGTTCTCAATCACCAAGAGGTGAATACAACCCAAATGTCCAGCTACTGATGAATGGATAAACAAAATGTTAGAATATCCAGAAAATAGAATATTATCACCATAAAGCAGAATGAAGTACTGATACTTGCTACAACATAAATGAACCTTGAATACATTATACTAACTGAAAGAAGCTAGACACAAAAGGTATATGATTCCATTTACATGAAATATCCAAACTTAGTAAATCCATAGAGATAGAAAGCAGATTATTGGATGCCTGGAGCTGTGGGGAGGGGCAGCAGGGAGTGACTGCTTAATGATACAGGATTTCCATTTCGGAAGATGAAAATATTTTGAAAGTAGACAGAGGTGATGATTGTGTGACATTGCGACAGTATAAAATACCACCGATTGTACACTTTAAAGTGGTTAACTTTATGTTAGATGAATTTCATCTCATTTTTTGAAAAAAATGTAAAGCAATCACACACATAAAATAATCCAGATTTCTGGTTCTTTTTGAAAACTTGGAGGACCTGGCAACACACTGCGGTCACACTCCTGCAGACTTGGCTGGCAGGGGCTGGGCAGGGACACCTCGTCAGGAGGGGCAGGTGCTGTCTAGTTCACCGCAGTGCTCCCCACTCTTTGCTGCCTCCCACCAGAGTCAGTTGTCATCCTTGCACTCCTCTTTTGCTCATATTAAAGAAGACAATAAAATTTGTTGTACCCATATCTCCAACAATATTGGAAAAACAACAGATAAGACAAGAGGGCAACAGGTTTTAAGACAAAATACTTCTTAAACCAGCCAGTTTCATTTATTTACTGGACCTTTTGAGCCTCTGTGGTCCGTGACCCTTATCAACAGAATCTGGACAATGAGGTAACAAGAGGGTGTGTTGCTGAGAAAGGCATTTCCTGTCTCAGGTTCATGTGAAATGCTATGCCTTGTGACATCTAGAACATACTTGTGAGATGCAACTATTCATTTGCCTATGGTTATCAACAGTTAGCAGGCAAGAAACAACCTGTTGGCTGAACAGATGGTTGGATTCTCAATCTGCCAAACGGATTTACATACACATTTTCTAGCTGTTCCCTCCATGGTGAACATGTGGTATGTGATGTCATTATTAACTGGGATAAGGACACTAATGGAAGATTGGTACAGAATCGATTGCTCATTCAGAATTGACTGCTGTGAGTCCCTCGCAAGAGCAGAGGTCTACCTGGGAGAAAGAACTGAGGCAGCCGATTCAGATTCAGAGCTTTGACAGGAGCAGAGATGGGGTGGAGCCCATGTTGATGGCTACTGGAGAGATTCAGGATTCTACCCACCAGGCTTTAAAAGGCCTCTAGCCTCACAGGTGTGTAATCAGCTCATCAAAGATGTTGACCAAAGGATCTCTTGTGACTTCCTGTCCCAGTTCTTTCCACATATCCACTTTAACCTGATTATACCTGTAAAGCACACTGAGCTTGGGAGAGGGAGGGGAAGCAGTCACACAGCATGGTCTGTCCTGGCCCAGGTCCCTGGACACAGTGGGGCAGGCAGGGAGGAAAGCAGGGGTAGCAAGTGTACCTCTGTCCCTGGGGTGTAGCAGTGACAGTGGCCCCCAGCAGCTTCTGCAATGTTCTTCAGGACAGCCTGCGGGATGGCAGCAGGGTCAGCCCTTACTAGGGCAATGCCAACACTCCAAAACACTTTCTCCTTGACTGAACCTCCCAACTCTCCAGACTTCCCATTTACCAAAGGGAGAACTAGGTATGAGAGAGTTGTGCTCTGGTCCACAGCTTGGGGCCCGTCCATGCATAGAGCCTCACAGGCTGGCCCTGCTCACTATGGACAATCCAAAGGAAAACATGGAAAGTCTCGGGAACTTACCGGGGGCACCTGGTCGTTGCATTTGTAGGTGACAATGTGGACGTGGAGGTCTGTGCCCATGGTGGACTGTTGGATATAGTCAGACAGGATTTCAGCAGGCTGATCTGGGCTGAGGAGAACACAGAACAAGAGAAGGGGGCACCCCAGCATGAGGACATACCAGAGAAAAATGGTAATTTCTAGGGAACATCTACAGAGTCTAACCTACCACTTGTGTCCCAGGTTGCTCATATAAGATGTAGGGCAGAGTAAAGCACAGGCCTGGTCTGCTCTGGTGGCCCTGTGGAAGGATGACCCATGAACACAATCCTTCCATCAAGTGTGTGTCAGGAGTCATGTTTGATGATCTTTCTCCAAACACTGGTTTGGTTCTGTAGCCCCCTTCACATACTCTGTTACCTGCTTAGGAAAAGAGACCTACCAGCTTCCTAATATGGTCACCAGGGAATCCAGCCCCTTTAGAGAAAAGGTTTTCTTCAGGGCTTGCAGCAGATTGCTGCCTCCTTCGGGCTGCAGGTGCTTTACCCAAAGCTTGAATTCCTGCAGACTGGGAAGACAAGAATGGAGACAATAGCAGCCTAATCACAGCATTCTGCAGGGCTCCAGGCCCAGGACAATTTGATCTCATTTCAGCCTAACAATAGCTCTTTGAGGTGGACATGTTTGTTTCCATCTTACAGATGAGAAGACTGAGGTTCAGAGTTAGGAATTGCCAAAATGATACTGTAAGCAACTGGCAACACTGAGAATTCAAACCAGGTCTAGCTCTAGGACCTGAGCTTCTAGTGACTACTGTCAGAGGATCTGTAGCTAAGACCCTTCTTGCACCCACCCTGAACCCCCCAACTCTGCTGGGAGGCAGACTTCGGCCTGAAGCATGGAGTCAATGCTCCAGCACTCAGAAGGGTCGAAGAGAAGGCTGTAGCTGTGTAGCTACATCTCATGTGGATTGGGGTACACACTACTAGTAAAAGGGAAAATGACTTACCAGTGCTTTCTTGGCTAAATATTGAATACCTCACAGGGTACTAGTGAGAGAGTTCTGCTCCTCCCATTTCTTTTTCAGTCTAACCAAAAAACCCCCCAAATCCCAGCTTGCTGCTAGAAGTCTGTCTCTTGTTATTATAACTATTGAGTCTCCCTTTTAAATAGAGAGAACAAATTCAGGTATAGAGCCTTCTCAAGCCAGTAGGTTTCAAGGTGAAATTTAATATCATCGTTTTGTTTGCTATCTTTGTATTTATTTTTTGGCCACTCCCTAATTATGGCAAGGATTCTTGGCTTCTCAATTATGGTACTGATAGAGAGTTTCCTTCAACAATAAATAGGGTTGATATAAATAAAATCGGTAACAGTGCAAGTGGTACAGAGTAAATAACAGTACACAAAGCAGAGATATGATGAGAATCACTTAAGTCCAGGAGTGACCGAAGTTGAGAAACTCCTGGCTAGATGATCTCAAGGTCATTTCCAGGTCGGACAATGGAGATCAGGGGTCTAACTAAGGTGGGAATCACAGTAAAAAGAATGCTCTCATTCACTGAGTATCTGCCACATGCCAGGTATTTATTTTTCATTTCATCCTCACAGCAGCTCAGTGAAGAGCAGGTATCCTTGGCCTTATTCTGTTTATGAGAGAGGTGAAAGACTGGTCATGGTTACACAGTAACTATCAGAGCTGGGATTCAAAGCCAGAACTGCTGAAACTGAGCACTTCACTGCCTGGACAGGTTCCTCTTTACAGCCAGTACTGGGCAAGAGGATCTCCATTCCAGAAATCAAAGCTTGTAGATTTTCCTTGACTCTGCTCTGGAATCTAATCCTGGCTCAGCTGCTTTGGGCGTGTTCCTTAACCTGAGACCCAGTCTCCTCATCTACAAAATGGGGATAATAATCCTATTCCATGTATTGGCTACAAATATTAAATAGGTTAGTATATGCAAAGTGGCTACAATGGTACTTAACATATGGTGGGTGATCAAGGATATTCCCTTCATGGTACAAGTAGAGACTCTTACATACCTTCCCTCTCTCTGCTCCCCTAAACTAGAAACTTCCCAATAAAGGACTAGCTAAACTATAGTGTGTATGTCTGTGTGTGTATGTGTGTGTGTGTGTGTGTGTGTGTGTATACATATAAATGCAGTGGAATACTATACAGCCATTAAAAAGAATGAGGAGTTCCTGTATGCACAGAGAGTGATATTCAAGTTTCGGTGCAAAGCCAGTTGCAGGTCTGTGTGACATGCTCTCGCTTATGTCTATTTTTTAAAGGTTTTACTCATTTTAGAGAAACTGGAAGGGAAGGAAGGAGAGAGAAAAAGAAATATTTATGTGCAAGAGATGCATGGATTGGTTGCTGCTCACATGCCCCCCAGCTGGGGACCTGGCCCTCAACTCAGGCATTGTACCAGCTCAGTGGGTCGAGTGATGGTCTGCGAAACAAAAGGTTACCGGTTTGATCCCCGGTTGAGGCACAATACCTGGGTTGTGGGCCGGGTCCCCAGTTAGGGGCATGCAAGAGGCGACCACACATTGATGTTTCTCTTCCTCTCTTTCTCCCTCCCTTCCCTTCTCTCTAAAAAATAAATAAATAAATCTTAAAGAAAAAAAGAGAGGATGAACACATAGGTGCATGTGTGTGACAGACTATCTGTGGAAATAAACAGAAGAAACTGTTACTGGGAGGAGAGAGGAGGACTCGGGTGAGGGAGGCTCCTTTGCTATTATTTATCCTCTCATACTGTTTGAGTTTTTGAAGATGAGCATGTATTATTTTCACAATAATAAAACTACCTGCTAGTTTACTGGATACGAATGGTGTCTTGTCTTTTCATTTGATGGATTACTTGCGAGGGTAGCCTTTTTTCCCGAAAGTTACTGGCTCCTGGTGTTTCTGCTTTTGTGAATTGTCCCTTTGCATTTATCTGATGAGGTCTTGGGTTTGCACTTCAATCATGCAATAACGACACTAACTCTTGGGGAAGAAAATGACCATGTAAACATCCTAGGCAGGGCTGGATGGCTACTTACATGGAGGTGCTGACATCCACCAGGTCTGGCCAGAGGGTGCTGGTGGTGGCGCCAAAGGACAGGACGTACAGCTTCTCCTTGCCACTCAGCTGCTCATCGATGAGGCTCTGGTGGACAGAAATGTCAGGTAGGAAGTTAGTTATTTATTCACGAAAGAGAAGTGGGCCAGACATCTCGTTTGGCCTGATTAAGTCAGGGAACAGAAATTTCATAGTCACACCAAGGAGTAATGGCACCATTTGGACAGCATCCTACCTAATCAACTAGTCGGGAAAGGCAGACTTATAACCTCCCCAGAGGTAATGGGCATCATTCCTCTGGGCTAACAGGGGAGGAAGAAAATGGTGAGGGGAAATTCCTTTTACTGAGGCTATACAATAGAATCCAGATGAGAAAGCAGGACTTGAGACACATGCAGTAGGAGACAAAAATGGCGACCATACACAGGCAGGATCTAGCCTGGGAAAGTCTGGGAAAAGGATCAGATTGGAGGAGGGCATGGAACCAGAAGATACAGGAAAGTGATTGGAGAGGGGGAGGCACCAGCACAGGCCACAAAGAACCCAGCATGTGCCCTCCTTGGAGCATGCCCACTCGAGTCTCCTTTTTGAGAATACTTTTGCATCCTTTTTTCCTAAACTCTAAGGGTCTGCACAAGACTTGCAAACAGGGGAGCAGCAAGTGGCAGCAGAGGGCTCTCCTTTTGCCTCTGTAACGTCCTTTGCCTCTGAGTCCACACAGCTGCTACTATAGCCTGCTTGCTCCCTCGCTCTCTGAGAATATGCTCTCTTTTTGCTCTAATAAATCTTGCCTCTCTCACAACTCTTCCTAAGCAAGTGAAATTCTTTTCCCATGACACTGCAGAAGAGCCCATTTCCGGACTGCAGGGCATATCTGCCTAGGTCCTCATGCTTCCAGTAATGAAAGGACACCACTGACTCCCAGAGCAAGGGACCATGTAAAGCCTGGCTTTACCTCTCATGCTGTGGTTGGTCCCCTGGGCTGAAGTATGAGCTGTGCTAAAGCAGGGTCACTGGAGGTTCAGCTTAGTGGACTCATGCTGACATTTGCTTTCCACCCACTGGGGATGTGGGATGGAAGCTATAGCTGCCTATCCCAGCCTGTCCCATGGTCCTATGTGGTGGAGGCAGGACATGGGCCTTCAGCCTGTGGATTAATTGTGTGCTCTTGCCACCCTCCCACCCACACCCCACCAATGCAGGCTGCTGTTCTCTTCCGCAGCAGCTCTTTAGGGTTGCCATACACCAGGGTCAGAAGTGAGGGTGGGATGTGTGTCTTGGCTACACACCTCAGGCGTGTGCTATGGTTGAACTCTTAACTGTGGCACACAGGAAGGAGAACAGAGGAGGGGGACAGTAGCCTCTTTCCAAGACATGTGAGTCAGGGATGGAGCAAAGGACACAACCAGCCTATTTAATTGATGTTCTTAAGCTGGAGCTGGTGAATATCCAACAGGGGAGTCTTGAGACATAGTCAAGTTAATAGGGACTGCTGTGAAGAGCATACTAGAAGCTCACACTCTAAGGGAAAATTACTCTGAGGTTGGGTTTCTTCAACTGCAGATGCTAATTAAGCGTGGGCTGTTCCTTGTAAAGCACATCATTTTGCATTTGCTATAAACAAAGCCAGCTAGCCAGGCACAAACAAGAGGAAGGGGTGGGGGGAGCAGTTCTAGGTCCTTCTCTGTACCCAGAGACTTACCATGAGGTCATTTTGAAATTCTTCTTTCCGAGGGCCACTGCTGATGGCTGACACATCAATGAGAATGCCAACTCTGGCCCCCTCGATGAGGCCAAATGCCTAAAATCAAAAAGGGCGCCCAGAAATAACCAGCACAGCTCTGTGTTGCTCTGAAGCCTTTCACTGAGCAGCTCCATGGAGAGAACTTCTAACCCTTCCAGATCTCAACAAGCGGCAGCCAAGGAAGGACCATTTTACAGAGAAAGAAGCAAAACCTAGGTCTGGGCTGCTGCTCCTATTTTATGGCAACATGTTCTTTAAGTTTTTGTCATTGATATTTACTGTCTACTATTCTGAAGTAATACATGTTTACTATAGAAAATTTGGATCCTGTAGAAAAGCATCCTTTGTAAGAGATAAAATTTGATACCTCACTACTGTGGATGAAAAAATGGCTACACACTAAATCTGACAAGGTCAAGGGAGGCCTGGATGGTGGGACTTACAAACTCAGAGACCAAGTTAACCACATGGAATGGTCTGAAATTAAAACTTTCTAACTAAAGGTAGTTAATGGCTATAGTCTTGTCCTAGTGCAATGGGGTGCAAAGTAGAGGTTGCCAGAAAATAGGAGAAAAAACCCCCACAAACCTCAACTGGAGGATGGGGGAAGTGGACGATATGGCTTAAGATACATTGCATAGCAAAAAGGCAGGATAATAGCTGTGTTACTGTCCCAGGCAAAAGGTGTCTAGTAACCCAGAGAGCATTCAGGGACAAATGACATAGCCATGGGAGGTGAATGCCCTGCCCAGAAGCCCCTGTGTCATGGGAGCTCTTGGCCTAACTAATGTTGGCAGCTGAGAAAATGTAAATACGGGGAGATGGGAAATGTAGCACATTGTAGGAGGAGCCAGAGAGGTGGTCATGTAGGAAGCTCTGGGTCAGGATTTAAACTAAGGGTGGGCAGAGAGAGGGAGCCTAGGTTGGCCACAAGGGCTGAGAGAGTAGGTGGCAGCCATGCTTGTCTGTAGTGAAGAGGGCAGTCGTGTGCAAAAGATTCAGCCATGCTGCCTATCGTGAGGGGGGAGCTATGTCTGTTCCTCTGAGGATTTGGCCATGCAGTCTGGGCTAGTAAGAAAGGGGAGTAACCATGAAGAAGGAGCCATGAGCCAGGAGGGATTTGGCAGCAGCAGCCAAGAGGGAGAGAATGGCATGCTGCTGCTCTAATCGTGCCCACTCTAGCTGACTCCAAAGCCACCAAATACTCTGCCTTGCAAGACGCTGACCTGCTGCCTTGCAGACGTGGACTCTATCTGTACCCTTGGGACTTGGGACATACAGAGAAGTTGCTTTCTTGGGATTTGTGCCTTTCCTAGACTTCACCATAAGCCAGTGCAATGTGGCACATGTTCTCCAGGACTGTCACATGGAGGCTGAGGACAACATACCCCAGATCCTGAAGGAGAGAGCTGTTGTGAGAGGATGGTGACTCTGAAACCCACAAGTGCACAGTCCAGAGGGGCTGGAGACCTGTTTGTGCAGCTGGCTTAAGAACAGATAAGAATATGAGGAACTATTGGGCTTGGTTTTGGCTTATACCCTGGAGAGCAAAGAAATTGCTGGGTCTCCTGGAAGAACAGGGCTCTGAGCAGAAGTGCTCTCAGTCCCACCAAGGTTTCACCCCTCTAAATAAAAACCCGTTTCTTCCAACACTAATCGTTGGGTCATGCATCAAGTTGCCACATGCATGGGCCCCACTTTGCTCCGTTATACTGGGTAGTATATTTTTCTAACGAAGGTCAATCTTTACCTTAAGTGAGCCTGTCATTTTTTTTGCATCAATGATAACATACATGATAATATGTCTTTGGAATATTAAAGTAATTTCCTTTTGTCCAGGCCCCTCAAAGCACAACCACCAAACCAGAGCAGAGACCACAAATCCTCTCATTGTTATTATTATGATACTAATTGTTGAATGTTAACTATTCTACATCCACCAATGTAAAAGAAGTACAAGGGGGGACCCCCCAAAGCCCCCAGAATTATCTTCTGGAGGGTGGGCCCCTTGTAGCACAGGCTTCCCCTGCTAGGTGAGTGTTCTAGGAACCCCTCTGTATCAGTGCACCAGCTGGCATTGTTGTGAGAGGTGTGTTCAGCTTCAGTGAATTTCTTTCTGAAGACTCTTTCAGTGCGTTAGCCCATTTCATGATGGGTGATTTATGAGCACACCTGCCCACACTGCATTGAGTGTTCAGCAGTTTTTGACCAAAAAATGGCATGACCTCCATGCCCCATACCCTCTATTCACCCGATCTCGCCCTGAGCGACTTTCTTTTGTTCCCCAAATGAAAAAAGTCCTCAAAGGGAAATGTTATGCCAATGTGGAAGAGGTGAAACAAAAAACAGCAGTTTCACTAAAAGGTATCAAAATTGATGAGTTCAAAAACTGTTTTGAGCAGTGGAAAAAACATTTTGATAAATGTACAGCATCAAATGGAGAGTACTTTGAAGGTGACTGAAATTTAAACATGCAAGAATAAATATACAATTTTTTATAAATAAATTCCAGGATTCTTTTTTCGGGGGGTCTCCCCCTTATGCATCTATTTCTTTTACTTTTTATCTAACCCCAGAGATTTTCCTGCTTTGCTTTCTCCCACCTCCCTAATCTACAACCGATGAATTTCATGTAACCCCCTTATGCCTCCTCCCTTCGATTGTAATGTATAAAACAAAATTGCCATTCTCCGAGCATTTTCTCAATCCGTGGAGATTTTGCTTCCCAGGATTTGCCATCAGTTTGGCTCAAATAAACTCATACAAATTCTTTCAGGTTTAGAGGTTTCTTATGTTAACATTTCCTTGGCATAGTGCAGCAGGATTCCAAAGAAGCCCACCCAGGACCACCCTGCAGACCCAGACCTGTGCTTGGTACCAGCAGGGGCCCACTGTGCCTCACCAGCTCTTTGTTTTGCATAGGGTCAACTTAGATGAGTTTCCCTTGGGATTCCAGACCTCCCTGTTTTAAGGAAGGAGGCCCTGATTTTATTTGAGCTGATTTTTAAAATCCTCAAGGTTAAGGGTTGAGACAACCCAGGCTAAGGTGGGATAGCAGGAAAAGTGGGTTGCTGGGTTTTACCTTTGACTTTTCAAATGAATTTGCTTTCTGAGAGTCCGAACAAAAACAACAACAACAACAAAAAACCTTTGCTGGATAAATGGGAGCCTGAACTCACAGGGCTCCAAAAGGGGCACTTCCTCCTTTCAGCCTGAATATCAGGTATTCTTAGGAGACTACAAATCTTTGTGTAGGTGTCAAAAGCCATGCTTTATGGTATGCAGGAGCCCCATAGAGAGTTCTAACTCTATTGTAATTAAACAACTGACTCATCTGGGGACACACACACATAAAGTCTGGTTACGTAGTTCTCTGAGCCCTCACAGCTGCATTAGACAACCAGAGAGAGAAACCAAGACACATAAGATAAATGAATGCAACCCAGGATGTGACAGTGCCTTGGAACTCAATCCATAAGCAGCATATTTCAATCCACCACATACTATCCCTAGAAATTTGTTCAGACTCTGAAGAAAGTGGAAGAAAATTAAAACTTAAATGGGAAATTGTGCCTCCAGGACAGAAACTCCCAGCTCCCAGCCCCAATTAATACTCCTGCAGATACACAATAAATGGGAAGCCTGTACTTGTATGTACTTTACAGAAATGGGAAGATTTAACTAGAAATGATATCAGCTTAAGATGGCCACAATGCACTTTTCTTTGGATGCCTAAATTAATTTCTGCATGCAAAATTAGAAAATGCTGGCTCTAAAATTAAACTTAATGAATGAGAAGTGTATCTTGAAGTGGAAATTAGAAACTTCTATGAGGAGCACAGATAAATTCTTTTCAAAAAAATGTTAATAAGAAATTTTAGGACTTCTGTAAGTAGATACACTCTGCCTCCTTGCACGACCAAAAGAAGGACAACAACAAATTTAAAAACAAAAACCAAGCAGAACTGCCAGAAAATCTAACTGTATGGAAGTCCAACAACCAAGGAGTTAAAGAAGAAACATTCATCCAGACCAGTAGGGGAAGTGGAAATGAACAACCAGGGCAGAGAGGAGGAGAGGCAAGGCTGCAGCTGCAGCAGAGAGGGCAGGCGAGGTGAAAGCTGGCAGTACCACATTTGTGTGCAGATAAACAGGGAGGTACACCTGGGGAGTGAGACAGACCATGCAACCCAGGGTTCCAATGCAGGAAAAGAAAGCCTCAAAACCTCTGGCTATAAAAATCTGTGGAGGTTGCAGTGGCAGGAGAAACTCCCAGTCTCACAGGAAAGTTCACTGAAGAGACCCACAGGGTCCTAGAATATACACAAACCCACCAACCCAGGAACCAGCAATAGAAGGGCTCAATTTGCTTGTGGGTAGCAGGGAAAGTGGCTGAAAGCTAGCCAAGAGCCAAGCAAGCAGCATTGCTCCCTCTCTGACCCATTCCCCACATACAATGTCACAACACAGCAAAGTGGGTTGCCCCCACCTGTCAAATACCTAAGGCTCGACCCCTTACAATGTAACAGCTGCACTGAGACAAAGAAATATGGCTCAAATGAAAGAACAGATCAGAACTCCAGAAGAAATAAGCAATGAAGAGATAGCCAACCTATCAGATGAGGAGTTCGAAACACTGGTAATCAGGATGCTCACAGAATTGGTTGAGAATGGTTGCAAAATAGAGGAAAAAGTGAAGGCAATGCAAAGTGAAATAAAGAAAAATATACAGGGAACCAACAGTACAAGGAAGGAAACCAGGACTCAAATCAATGATTTGAGGCAGAAGGAAGAAATAAACATTCAGCCAGAACAGAATGAAGAAACAAGAATTTTTAAAAAAAGGTAAGAGGCTTAGGAACCTCTGGAACAACTTGAAACGTTTCAACATCTGAATCATAGGGGTGCCAGAGGAGAAGAGGAGGAGCAAGAAATTGAAAACTTATTTGAGAAAATAATAATGAAGGAGAACTTCCCTAATCTAGCAAAGGAAATAGACTTCGAGGAAGTCCAGGGAGCTCAGAGAGCCCCAGAGAAGTTGGACCCAAGAAACACAC